CAGGCTAAACGCTGCTTATCTGTCTGTAGTCTACAGCATGACTCTGCTTCAGGCTAAACGCTGCTTATCTGTCTGTAGTCTACAGCATGACTCTGCTTCAGGCTAAACGCTGCTTATCTGTCTGTAGTCTACAGCATGACTCTGCTTCAGGCTAAACGCTGCTTATCTGTCTGTAGTCTACAGCATGACTCTGCTTCAGGCTAAACGCTGCTTATCTGTCTGTAGTCTACAGCATGACTCTGCTTCAGGCTAAACGCTGCTTATCTGTCTGTAGTCTACAGCATGACTCTGCTTCAGGCTAAACGCTGCTTATCTGTCTGTAGCCTATACAGCATGACTCTGCTTCAGGCTAAACGCTGCTTATCTGTCTGTAGTCTACAGCATGACTCTGCTTCAGGCTAAACGCTGCTTATCTGTCTGTAGTCTACAGCATGACTCTGCTTCAGGCTAAACGCTGCTTATCTGTCTGTAGTCTACAGCATGACTCTGCTTCAGGCTAAACGCTGCTTATCTGTCTGTAGTCTACAGCATGACTCTGCTTCAGGCTAAACGCTGCTTATCTGTCTGTAGTCTACAGCATGACTCTGCTTCAGGCTAAACGCTGCTTATCTGTCTGTAGCCTATACAGTATGACTCTGCTTCAGGCTAAACGCTGCTTATCTGTCTGTAGGCTATACAGCATGACTCTGCTTCAGGCTAAACGCTGCTTATCTGTCTGTAGCCTATACAGTATGACTCTGCTTCAGGCTAAACGCTGCTTATCTGTCTGTAGTCTACAGCATGACTCTGCTTCAGGCTAAACGCTGCTTATCTGTCTGTAGTCTACAGCATGACTCTGCTTCAGGCTAAACGCTGCTTATCTGTCTGTAGTCTACAGCATGACTCTGCTTCAGGCTAAACGCTGCTTATCTGTCTGTAGTCTACAGCATGACTCTGCTTCAGGCTAAACGCTGCTTATCTGTCTGTAGTCTACAGCATGACTCTGCTTCAGGCTAAACGCTGCTTATCTGTCTGTAGTCTACAGCATGACTCTGCTTCAGGCTAAACGCTGCTTATCTGTCTGTAGTCTACAGCATGACTCTGCTTCAGGCTAAACGCTGCTTATCTGTCTGTAGTCTACAGCATGACTCTGCTTCAGGCTAAACGCTGCTTATCTGTCTGTAGTCTACAGCATGACTCTGCTTCAGGCTAAACGCTGCTTATCTGTCTGTAGCCTATACAGTATGACTCTGCTTCAGGCTAAACGCTGCTTATCTGTCTGTAGTCTACAGCATGACTCTGCTTCAGGCTAAACGCTGCTTATCTGTCTGTAGTCTACAGCATGACTCTGCTTCAGGCTAAACGCTGCTTATCTGTCTGTAGTCTACAGCATGACTCTGCTTCAGGCTAAACGCTGCTTATCTGTCTGTAGCCTACAGCATGACTCTGCTTCAGGCTAAACGCTGCTTATCTGTCTGTAGTCTACAGCATGACTCTGCTTCAGGCTAAACGCTGCTTATCTGTCTGTCACTATGGGAAGTTCCCAATCCACCTGCGTGGACTACAGGGTAGGCCTAGATGCATGTCACTAACTGGCATTTGGTGGGGCTACATCCTGGTTGTAAAGGACATGGTCTTTGATCCTTTTTTCATTTACAGGTAGATCAGGGCGGCAGGTAGCTTAGTGGGTAAGAGCGTTGTGCCAGTAACCGAAAGGTCGCTGGTTCTAATCCCAGAGCCGACTAGGCGAAAAATCTGTCGATGTGCCCTAAAGCAAGGCACTTAACCCTAATTGCTGCTGTAAGTCGCTCTGGATAAGAGCGTCTGCTAAATGACGTAAAGTGTAAATCAGACATCCCTTTGATGATGATTAGTTGTAGTAGTAGCCTAGAAGTTGTTAATATTGATGCTACATTTATTACACCCTTAATGGATTCGACAGAGGAAAACACACAGAATACACAGACAAAGCTAGCAAGTAAACCATCTTTAGCTGTTCACTAGGAAGTATACAGTTGACTTTAGCGTAGACGGCACGGAGAAGATGGGCGTGAAGGGGGAGAGCCTCGTAAATGGAGTCCCTTGAGAAAGCAAGAAACAGATGTATGTCAGGAGAAGTGCAGTGTTATCATAAGGAGAGTTATACTTGGATGACGGAGGAGGAATGGAGGGAAAAAGAGAGGCAGAGGAGGTCTAAGAGAGAGAGGGAGGAAGAGGGTGAGCTTGAGTCGGTTAAAAATGGCGGGAAAAAGGGAGATGGTTTGTTAAAGAAGAACGGTAGAACGTTAGTAGAGTGAGCTGAAGACAGGAGGAGAAACGGAAGTGATTGAGGGTGAAGTATCGGAGGTGGTAAGTGTGGTGAAGTACTCGGAGCCCGAGGTTTGCACAGAGGGTCAGGATGAAGATGAGTCTGTGACAGTAGGAGGGAAGTTAATGGAAAAAGTGGATCCTTGCCTTTTGGCTGATCCATTAGTGGTTTCATGGTGGGTGAAAAAAGCGTTGGGTAAAGTGGAATCGGTGAGGGTAACCAGAAGTGGTCTAGTGATAATTGTTTGTGTTTCTGTTGGTCAGAGGGAGAAGGCGCTCAGAGTTAAACAAATGGGGGAAAGAATTGTGAATTGTTTTGCTCTCAAGCAAAGGGCGCCATTGAAAGGGGGTAGCAGTAAATGTAAAAGTGGACCAACTGAAGGGGAAGATTCCCAGTGTTTGTGATGCTCGTTGTTTGGTGCGACGCAAACAGGGCGGCGACAGTGGGAAAACAGAAGAGTCGTTGTCTGTTCTTTTGAGTTTTGAAGTTGAGTCTTTGCCTGACAAAGTGAAGTTAGGATAAATAAGTTATCCTGTACGAGCTTATGTGCCGAATACATTACGATGTTACAGGTGTCAAACTTATGGGCATGTGGCAGCAGTGTGTAGGAGGGAGGTTCCTAGGTGTGAGAAGTGTCCAGAAGGGCATGAGACAAAGGAATGTGCAGCATTGAGGAAAGTAGTGGTATGTGCTAATTGCTGGGGATCAGAAATGTCCCGTGCGAGAGAGGCAGGTTGAGGTTTCCAGGGTTAGAGTAGTGAAGTAGTTGTCATATGCTGAGGCAGGGAAGAAAGTAGAGGAAGATGGGTCAAGGGGGGAGGAGTGGTGAGAGTAGTAGATCTGTACCAGTACAGAGGGATAGGACAACAAGTAAGATTGGATTTTTGGCATTTATAGCAATGGTTATTAATTGTACTGCAGGGATGGAACGTAAGTCGAAGAAAATTGAGGTTGTGGTGGCAGCTGCAGAGAGGTATTTGGGTGTGCTAGACTTGACATCAGAAGAGTTACAGGGAGTGTTAAGTGGTGATGTTCCATCATTTCAGGTTGAGGGCATGAGGTAGGAATTCATATATTTAAATAGTGGAGTAGGGTGGTGTTAATTATTAATAATATTTTTGAATTTGTGAGTGTAGTGTTAGATGGTATGGGTATTTCTTTATTTTATTTTTCAAGCAAAATATAAGGGAGTTGTACTCTAGTCTAGTAGGTGGCGGTAATGCAACAAATTGGATGCCAACCGCCGTTAAACCTCATCGAAAAAGTACACCCTTAATGTTGTATGCAATAATTTATCTGTTGTTGACAATTGCACCTCTCACCACAGCGTGGCGCTGCGGTCAAAGTACAGACCAAACACAAACATCCTCCTTCCGTCTCATGCTCCCCCAGTTTCCGGAAGATCCCTGAGAAAATGGAATCCTGAGACCGTACCCAACTAGTCAAGCGAATTTGTGAGAATAAAACTACGAAAGTCCAAAATAAGGAATAACGACAGAAATACAAGACAGGTACTGTGAAATTATGACATATTTAGATTTTGTTAACTCGTGTTTTAAAATATAAAGTGGGTCATTAAATTGTGCTAACCTGTTAGCTAGCTAACGTTAGCGGTCAACTAACGTTAGGTAGCGCTTAGCAAGCAGCTATCGATCAGTAACTGTCGTTGCGGCTTCGGAAGGTGTTCGCTAACTGATTAGCTTGCTTAATCAGTTAGCTAACTAATTAATTGGTGTTGATTATAATTAGTTAGCTAACAACGTGAAAAACATATATATTGAAAGGGACAATGTTAGTTAGCGAGATAGCCAACGTTATTTGAACCTTAATGGCTTAGTTTCATGTTGGTGAAAATATGTCAGTCTTCCTTATTCCTGATGTCATATAGTTAGTTAGTTAAAATTGTTTCGAGGTATTCATTTATTTACTCACTAGCTAACTAGCCAGTTAGTCACGGTTGCGCCAGCTATCAACAACAAAAACGTCAACTTGCTTCCATCTTGTACGCTAATACATTTATAGAGGATAGCTTAATCACAATTGTTGGTGTTAGTGGATGTCTGTATTTAGCGTACACAAAAGACATCACAAGAGCTAGCCAACGTTAGCTAGCTAATTCCACGAATGACTGCAAATTTAAAAGTTTATCGTTAGCCTGTTAGCCAACGTTAGCTGGTCTGCTAGCTAGCCAAATGTTTATCCTGCGCTAACAAGCTAGCTAAATTTAGTCTTGTCAACTTGAAATGTTTGCCATGGTCACAACTTGAAATCATAAAAGAAGGATGTTGTTAGCTAGTTATGGTTTTGCAACGGTAAATGTTGAGATGTAGCTAGCTAACGGAGTTGTCTGTCCATCTTTCAGATGCCATTTTCTGCTGAGGTTGTTAGCTAGTAAGCATGCTAATTGTTAGCTCGCCAGATGATTCCATTTTGTTTTTCTTGACTTTGGTCTGACTGGCTGCTGATTTGTAATTAAAACAAGGGATTCCGTTTAGATGATGCTTTTAAAGGATGTGACATATTGTGGCGTCGGAGTAAAGGATGGCCAGCAATATTTTTCCTTTATCTGAAACGTCCTCATTACGTTAACTGTAGTCTACTGAACGCTAGTTAACCGGTCTTCATCTATTTGTTGATGAATGTAGGGGTGACTAGCTCTGCTTTTTTGCCTTGTATAACAATAATAATTGTTTTATTAGATGTGCTGTATGTCATGAATCTGATCAGTCTCCTGTCTGTGGCCTTCCCAACCAATACCCAGCCAGTGTGTTTGCTCTGTCTGTGGCCTTCCCCACCAATACCCAGCCAGTGTGTTTGCTCTGTCTGTGGCCTTCCCAACCAATACCCAGCCAGTGTGTTTGCTCTGTCTGTGGCCTTCCCCACCAATACCCAGCCAGTGTGTTTGCTCTGTCTGTGGCCTTCCCCACCAATACCCAGCCAGTGTGTTTGCTCTGTCTGTGGCCTTCCCCACCAATACCCAGCCAGTGTGTTTGCTCTGTCTGTGGCCTTCCCAACCAATACCCAGCCAGTGTGTTTGCTCTGTCTGTGGCCTTCCCCACCAATACCCAGCCAGTGTGTTTGCTCTGTCTGTGGCCTTCCCAACCAATACCCAGCCAGTGTGTTTGCTCTGTCTGTGGCCTTCCCAACCAATACCCAGCCAGTGTGTTTGCTCTGTCTGTGGCCTTCCCAACCAATACCCAGCCAGTGTGTTTGCTCTGTCTGTGGCCTTCCCCACCAATACCCAGCCAGTGTGTTTGCTCTGTCTGTGGCCTTCCCCACCAATACCCAGCCAGTGTGTTTGCTCTGTCTGTGGCCTTCCCAACCAATACCCAGCCAGTGTGTTTGCTCTGTCTGTGGCCTTCCCCACCAATACCCAGCCAGTGTGTTTGCTCTGTCTGTGGCCTTCCCAACCAATACCCAGCCAGTGTGTTTGCTCTGTCTGTGGCCTTCCCCACCAATACCCAGCCAGTGTGTTTGCTCTGTCTGTGGCCTTCCCAACCAATACCCAGCCAGTGTGTTTGCTCTGTCTGTGGCCTTCCCCACCAATACCCAGCCAGTGTGTTTGCTCTGTCTGTGGCCTTCCCAACCAATACCCAGCCAGTGTGTTTGCTCTGTCTGTGGCCTTCCCAACCAATACCCAGCCAGTGTGTTTGCTCTGTCTGTGGCCTTCCCAACCAATACCCAGCCAGTGTGTTTGCTCTGTCTGTGGCCTTCCCCACCAATACACAGCCAGTGTGTTTGCTCTGTCTGTGGCCTTCCCCACCAATACCCAGCCAGTGTGTTTGCTCTGTCTGTGGCCTTCCCCACCAATACCCAGCCAGTGTGTTTGCTCTGTCTGTGGCCTTCCCAACCAATACCCAGCCAGTGTGTTTGCTCTGTCTGTGGCCTTCCCAACCAATACCCAGCCAGTGTTTGCTCTGTCTGTGGCCTTCCCAACCAATACCCAGCCAGTGTGTTTGCTCTGTCTGTGGCCTTCCCCACCAATACCCAGACAGTGTGTTTGCTCTGTCTGTGGCCTTCCCCACCAATACCCAGCCAGTGTGTTTGCTCTGTCTGTGGCCTTCCCCACCAATACCCAGCCAGTGTGTTTGCTCTGTCTGTGGCCTTCCCAACCAATACCCAGCCAGTGTGTTTGCTCTGTCTGTGGCCTTCCCCACCAATACCCAGCCAGTGTGTTTGCTCTGTCTGTGGCCTTCCCCACCAATACCCAGCCAGTGTGTTTGCTCTGTCTGTGGCCTTCCCCACCAATACCCAGCCAGTGTGTTTTCTCTGTCTGTGGCCTTCCCCACCAATACCCAGCCAGTGTGTTTTCTATGTCTGTGGCCTTCCCCACCAATACCCAGCCAGTGTGTTTGCTCTGTCTGTGGCCTTCCCCACCAATACCCAGCCAGTGTGTTTGCTCTGTCTGTGGCCTTCCCAACCAATACCCAGCCAGTGTGTTTGCTCTGTCTGTGGCCTTCCCCACCAATACCCAGCCAGTGTGTTTTCTCTGTCTGTGGCCTTCCCCACCAATACCCAGCCAGTGTGTTTGCTCTGTCTGTGGCCTTCCCCACCAATACCCAGCCAGTGTGTTTGCTCTGTCTGTGGCCTTCCCAACCAATACCCAGCCAGTGTGTTTTCTCTGTCTGTGGCCTTCCCCACCAATACCCAGCCAGTGTGTTTTCTCTGTCTGTGGCCTTCCCCACCAATACCCAGCCAGTGTGTTTGCTCTGCTGACTCTTTGCTGTGTCAGTCTGTTACAGATGCAGCTGTGCATTTCTATTCTCTACCTGTTGTTCACCCGGTCCAGCCAGAAGAGGATGGCGATGTCCCCTTCTCTGAGCCTGCTTCCTCTCCAGGGACTTTTTCCTGGCTCTTGCTTGTGCTTTGGTGTCTAGGCCGGGCTGCTGGAAAAGCACCTTTTGAAAACTGCTGATGTAAAAATAAATGTCGTTATCCCTAGCAGCTGGATCGTGGTGACTCAGCGACAGACAGCGTTTATCTCCAACTTCTCTCCCTTCGACACCTGATGGAGGGCTCCGACAGTTCCGAGCCGGGCGCCAGTGACCAACCAGAGGCCCAGCGCAGTCGGCAGCGGGACCGACTAGACCGGGAGGAGGCCTTCTACCAGTTTGTCAACAACCTGAGTGAGGCGGACTACCGGCTAATGAGAGACAACAACCTGCTGGGTACCCCAGGTAACTGCCTCTCCTTTAATACCTTATTTTATTTTACATTTTAGTCATTTAGCAGCCGCTCTTATCCAGAGCGACTTACAGTTAGTGAGTGCATACATTTTTCATACTGGCCCCCCGTGGGAATCGAACCCACAACCCTGGCGTTGCAAGCGCCATGCTCTACCCACTGAGCTACAGGGGATACACGTGTAGTAACACCTGTTATAAACCTATAACACTCCTTTAACACACCTCGTTAGACAACAACCTGCTGGGTACCCCAGGTAACTGACTCACACACCTGTAATGCATATCTCAGAGGGTTAACAGAGCAGTGTAGAGATGGACTCCCACACCTGTAAGACATATCTCAGAGGGTTAACAGAGCAGTGTAGAGATGGATTTTCAACCGCCTTGCTCTTCACTTTCTGTAGTCCTTATTTTTCTACTGCAGAATGAATGATTTTTTTCAGTCAGCTTTTTAGATTGGCTATCTAAGGTTGTTGTCTCAGGTTGTAGTTTTTCTTATCATGGTGTGCTGAAAAACCAAAGCCTGCGGACAACCGAAGACGCCACATCAGGCCAGTGGAGTGTGTTTGGTGGAGCATCTTTCCTGGGGAGAGCGGTGAGAGGACAGGGCCTGTCCTGGTAAGTCTGGTGGTTCTCAGTACTGTCCTGTTGCTGTGTAACCAGGAGATATACTACAGCTTTATGGGCAAGTACTAGGGTATTTACGGTACTAAATGAACCAGTGTCTGTATAGTGAGTTGTAGTTTCATCCCTCCTAGGTGAGATCACAGCGGAGGAGTTGTTGAGTCGGCTGCAGCAGATTAAGGATGGGCCAGAGCAGCCGCAGCCTAGCATCAACAGCACTGAGACTGGAGAAGGAGGTAAGGCGCGGCTGTACTTTTCATTATGTCATTCAAGCAGAAATTCAAATTTGGCTACTTTTAAAGATGGAATCCTTAATGGTGAAATTGCCAGAACAACAAAGTCACTGCAAACAACAAATACTGTTTTGTTTTCAATGATAATTTTGACATGTTCTGTCTTCTATTAGAACCGGCGGAAGGTCCAGAGGACCCGTCTAACGGCGACACCCTCTTGGATTGGCTGAACACCGTCAGGCGGACAGGCAACACCACCCGCAGTGGTCACCGAGGCAACCAGTCGTGGCGGGCGGTGAGCCGGACCAACCCAAACAGCGGAGACTTCCGGTTCAGTCTGGAGATCAACGTTAACCGTAACCTGGCCGAGCAGCAGGCCCGCGCCGAGGGGGAGGCACAAGAGGAAGCCCCAGCAGAAGCACCTGGTGATGGGGTGGAGGCAGTGGTCGGAGTGGAGGTCCAGCCTGAGGCAGGGACGGAGGCAGGGACGGAGGCAGGGACTGAGGCGCCCATGGAGACAGGAGAGGTGCTGGAGGAACCAGTTGTGGAGGAGCTGGCTGTCATAGTGGAACCAGAAGTGGAGATGGAGCCAGAGGCTGAAGTAGAAGCAGAGATGGTACCAGAGTTAGTAGTAGAGGTGGTCCCACAGCCCCCCAGCCCTGCCGCCACCACCCCTCCTGTCTCCAGCCCTGCCATCACCACCCCTCCTGTCTCCAGCCCTGCCACCACCACCCCTCCTGTCTCCAGCCCTGCCATCACCACCCCTCCTGTCTCCAGCCCTGCCACCACCACCCCTCCTGTCTCCAGACCAGCCAGTCCCTCGGTGCAGTCCCCTCCAGCCGCTCCCAGCCCTCCCTCGGTGCAGTCCCCTCCAGCCGCTCCCAGCCCTCCCTCTGAGGAGCCTCCGCGACGAGGCCAGAGACGAGCCCGCAGCCGTAGCCCCGAGCAGCGCCGGACCAGGGCTCGCACCACACGGAGCCGTTCCCCTCTCACCCTGGACCACCTGGACGGCCTCCCCCGCCACGTGCCCAACGCCACCCCCTCACACAGCCCCGCCCCCCTGCCCCCCGAGGCCCCGGCAGAGGGAAGCTCACGGACTCGACAGCATGTTCTGTCCCGGCAGAGCACCGCAGAGTACGAGGCCCAGTCAGCCGGAACAGGGACTGGGACCGCCCCAGAGCCCCCTACCGCCCCAGCCCAGGAGGGGGCAGCAGGACCACGCCCCCCCACCATCATGCTGGACCTGCAGGTGCGTCGCGTGCGTCCAGGTGAGTACCGCCAGAGGGACAGCATTGCTAACAGAACCCGCTCACGCTCCCAGAACTCCAACAACACCTTCCTGTACGAGAGTGAGAGGGGGGGATTCCGCAGGACCTTCTCCCGGTCAGAGCGTGCAGGTGTGAGGACATACGTCAGCACCATCCGGATCCCCATCAGGAGGATCAGTGACGCAGGGCTGGGAGAGGCCACCTCTATGGCCCTACAGACCATGATACGACAGATCATGACCGGCTTCGGAGAGCTCAGCTACTTCATGGACTCTGACTCGGACTCCTCGGACTCAAACCGTGGCGCCGGTAACCCCACCGGCGCTGCCGACCTGGCCGAGGCGCTCAACACTCCCGAGGGGGGAGTAGCCGGCATGGCGGTGGGGGTGGAGCCTCCTGTCTCAGTGGGCGGGCCTAGTGTGGGAGGAGCCGGGGAGGCAAGGACAGAGGAGGGGGAGGAGGGGGTTGGTCTAGGTCTGGCCCCAGGGATAGGTTTAGGGGTGGGGGGTAGAGCTCGGCCCCGCGCCCCCATCAGTCTGGAGGAACCAGGGTCACTGCCCTTCCTCCGCCTTGCTCACTTCTTCCTCCTGAATGATGAGGATGAGGAACAGCCCAGAGGACTCACCAAGGAGCAGATCGACAACCTCTCCACCAGGAACTTTGGGGAGAGTGATGCTCTGAAGACCTGCAGTGTGTGCATCACAGAGTATGCTGAGGGGAACAAGTTGAGGAAGTTGCCCTGTTCCCATGAGTACCATGTTCACTGTATCGACCGCTGGCTGTCTGAGAACTCCACCTGTCCCATCTGCCGCAGGGCCGTGCTGGTGTCTGCTAACCGGGAGAGTGTGGTCTAACCGGCAGGGTCAGGGGTCAGGGGTCACCGGGCCAGGCGGCCAACCACTGCTCCAGACAGACACCTCCAGTATATAACACCGTTTCAGTTCTGCAGGCCTTTCTCCTAGTCAGACCATTTACATTGTTCATGTTTTTATTTTTAAGCCATCAGTGAGTTTTATCCAACTGACATGCCAGTGTTTGGACAGAGAGAGACGAGACCTGACAGACGAGACAGACAAAACAGACGAGAGAGAGAGACAGACAAGACGGAGAGACTGACAGGAAGGAAGGTGGTGTCCTCACAGACTGTAGGAAGAGACATGAGAAAGAGATGCCACTGTCCCCTGTTGGCCATCAGACCCCACTCTCCCCTACCTACCCTGAGAGGGCCATCAGACCCCACTCTCCCCTACCTACCCTGTTGGCCATCAGACCCCACTTTCCCCTACCTACCCTGTTGGCCATCAGACCCCACTCTCCCCTACCTACCCTGTTGGCCATCAGACCCCACTCTCCCTTACCTACCCTGTTGGCCATCAGACCCCACTCTCCCCTACCTACCCTGAGAGGGCCATCAGACCCCACTCTCCCCTACCTACCCTGTTGGCCATCAGACCCCACTCTCCCCTACCTACCCTGAGAGGGCCATCAGACCCCACTCTCCCTTACCTACCCTGTTGGCCATCAGACCCCACTTTCCCCTACCTACCCTGTTGGCCATCAGACCCCACTCTCCCCTACCTACCCTGTTGGCCATCAGACCCCACTCTCCCTTACCTACCCTGTTGGCCATCAGACCCCACTCTCCCCTACCTACCCTGAGAGGACCAACAGACCCCACTCTCCCTTACCTACCCTGAGAGGACCAACAGACCCCACTCTCCCCTACCTACCCTGAGAGGACCAACAGACCCCACTCTCCCCTACCTACCCTGAGAGGGCCATCAGACCCCACTCTCCCCTACCTACCCTGAGAGGACCAACAGACCCCACTCTCCCCTACCTACCCTGAGAGGGCCATCAGACCCCACTCTCCCCTACCTACCCTGAGAGGACCAACAGACCCCACTCTCCCCTACCTACCCTGAGAGGACCATCAGACCCCACTCTCCCCTACCTATCCTGTTGGCCATCAGACCCCACTCTCCCCTACCTACCCTGAGAGGACCAACAGACCCCACTCTCCCCTACCTACCCTGAGAGGACCAACAGACCCCACTCTCCCCTACCTACCCTGAGAGGGCCATCAGACCCCACTCTCCCCTACCTACCCTGAGAGGACCAACAGACCCCACTCTCCCCTACCTACCCTGAGAGGACCATCAGACCCCACTCTCCCCTACCTACCCTGAGAGGACCATCAGACCCCACTCTCCCCTACCTACCCTGTTGGCCATCAGACCCCACTCTCCCCTACCTACCCTGAGAGGACCATCAGACCCCACTCTCCCCTACCTACCCTGAGAGGACCAACAGACCCCACTCTCCCCTACCTACCCTGAGAGGACCAACAGACCCCACTCTCCCCTACCTACCCTGAGAGGACCAACAGACCCCACTCTCCCCTACCTACCCTGAGAGGACCAACAGACCCCACTCTCCCTTACCTGTCTTACCCCAAAAAGGACTCCACTGTCCCCACCTGACCCTGCTCTCCACCTGAAAGACTAACTGCATTTATCAATACTCTGGAATGTCTCACTGGCTGTTGGTGTGTCAAAGCTTGCAGAATTAGTTTTTAAGTTAAAACTGTAGAATGTTGTACAGGCTTTAATGGGGAGAACACAAGATGTGACGGACTTGGATTCAGTTTGGAATTCTTAGCTATCAGTTTATTTGGAATCGTATTGCATCATATTCATGACATCGGATCGATTGTACTGATTATTGATTATGAATTGTGTTGAAGCGTCGTTGAGATGGGATGTGGGCATTTAGTCTAACTCCAGCCCATCACATGAAGCATTTTCTGTTTCTGCCCTCTGACAGTGTTTCATCATGACCTGGCCTTTATCCACAAAGCATCTCCCAGTAGGACTGCTGATATAGGATCAGGCCATATAATCCTATTCATTATGACCTCTGATCAGCAGTCCCACTGTGATACGGGCCCTGAATGATAATAAACCCAGTGATCCTAACCCTGTGACGTCACCATGACAACCTGTTGGTTCTGCTGCAATATCACCAGGAAGTGAACAGACGGCTGCATTATGGGGCCGTACCAAACGCCACCCTATCTCTTTATAGTGCACTACCCATAGGACTCTGATCTAAAGTAGTGCTCTATATAGGGAATAAGGCCATTTGGGAATCACTTTTATTATGAGTTCCATGTGTTGGTTAGACCCCGGCAGGCCAGGTTAGACCCCGGCAAGCCAGGATAGACCCCGGCAAGCCAGGATAGACCCAGGCAGGCCAGGATAGACCCAGGCAGGCCAGGTTAGAGCCAGGCAGGCCAGGCAGGCCAGGTTAGAGCCAGGCAGGCCAGGATAGAGCCAGGCAGGCCAGGATAGAGCCAGGCAGGCCAGGTTAGAGCCAGGCAGGCCAGGCAGGCCAGGTTAGAGCCAGGCAGGCCAGGTTAGAGCCAGGCAGGCCAGGTTAGAGCCAGGCAGGCCAGGCAGGCCAGGTTAGAGCCAGGCAGGCCAGGATAGAGCCAGGCAGGCCAGGTTAGAGCCAGGCAGGCCAGGATAGACCCAGGCAGGCCAGGATAGACCCAGGCAGGCCAGGTTAGAGCCAGGCAGGCCAGGTTAGAGCCAGGCAGGCCAGGTTAGACCCAGGCAGGCCAGGTTAGACCCAGGCAGGCCAGGTTAGACCCAGGCAGGCCAGGTTAGACCCAGGCAGGCCAGGTTAGACCCAGGCAGGCCAGGTTAGACCCAGGCAGGCCAGGTTAGACCCAGGCAGGCCAGGTTAGAGCCAGGCAGGCCAGGTTAGACCCAGGCAGGCCAGGATAGACCCAGGCAGGCCAGGTTAGAGCCAGGCAGGCCAGGTTAGAGCCAGGCAGGCCAGGTTAGAGCCAGGCAGGCCAGGATAGAGCCAGGCAGGCCAGGTTAGAGCCAGGCAGGCCAGGCAGGCCAGGATAGAGCCAGGCAGGCCAGGATAGAGCCAGGCAGGCCAGGATAGAGCCAGGCAGGCCAGGATAGACCCAGGCAGGCCAGGTTAGAGCCAGGCAGGCCAGGTTAGAGCCAGGCAGGCCAGGATAGACCCAGGCAGGCCAGCTTAGACCCAGGCCAGGTCTCTGTCCTCTGTCTATGCCTAGAACGTCTAGCACCGAGAGACGTCTTCATATCTGGAACACCAGTGCAATAACTACAAAGAGGAAAAACAAAGCGGAATATTCTAAACTTGTATATTATTATTTCTAAAATATTGTAGACTGAATATTCACACTTAAAATGAAGACTTGTTCCCTTTTCAAAATGTGTTAAGCTTTTTATTTGCTAGAGCTTGGTTCTTTCTGTACATTCCGATAGCACTATTTCTTGGCGAGCGGTGGGACTGTAGGATGCTATACGTTGGCTGTACGTGCAGACGGAGGGAGGGAGCGTTCTATGCCATGATGACATCACATTATTCTATAGGTTCCATGTGTTCTCACGGTTGCCGTCATTACCTCCTCCCTGTATAAATAAAGTTTTGGGTGGTTGAAGCTCTGTTATTGTTGATAATGACCAGCTGTAAATTAAATGTATTCTGTCTTTCTGGCAGCGCTTCCCTACTAGCCTGGCTGTCTTCATCATGGCCTTCTACTGCAGTGTGTTGGGAGTGTCCCACATGGCACCCTATTCCCTATAGTGCACTGCCTTTGGGACACCCACATGGCACCCTATTCCCTATAGTGCACTGCCTTTGGGACACCCACAGGGCTCTGGTCAACATTAGTGCTCTATAAAGGGAATAGGGTGCCATTTGGGAGCCAGACCAGTCCTGTAGTCTAATATCCCTATGTTCACCAAGGGCATGTTCTCATTATCAGGAAATACATTCTGCCGTCTCCACTTCTCCTTCTGCCTTTTAGTTTAAGAATATATTGTATTATTGTTGATACCCACAGAATTTCAGTTCCCAGGGGGATGACGTGGAGAGGGCCACGTTCCCAGGGGGATGACGTGGAGAGGGCCACGTTCCCAGGGGGATGACGTGGAGAGGGCCACGTTCCCAGGGGGATGATGTGGGGAGGGCCACGTTCCCAGGGGGATGACGTGGAGAGGGCCACGTTCCCAGGGGGATGATGTGGGGAGGGCCACGTTCCCAGGGGGATGACGTGGAGAGGGCCACGTTCCCAGGGGGATGATGTGGGGAGGGCCACGTTCCCAGGGGGATGATGTGGGGAGGGCCACGTTCCCAGGGGGATGACGTGGAGAGGGCCACGTTCCCAGGGGGATGACGTGGAGAGGGCCACGTTCCCAGGGGGATGACGTGGAGAGGGCCACGTTCCCAGGGGGATGACGTGGAGAGGGCCACGTTCCCAGGGGGATGATGTGGAGAGGGCCACGTTCCCAGGGGGATGACGTGGAGAGGGCCACGTTCCCAGGGGGATGACGTGGAGAGGGCCACGTTGTTACAACTAGCCTGGTCGTGGACCAGGCTTCTCCAAGGGAGGCGTGACCACTTGATTTTGGAGATATAGCCACTCAGTAATCTGTTTTAACCCACAGGTGGAGCACCTCTAAAGAGGGAGAGGGTGAGATGATCAATAGGGTTGTATGAAAATGTATGCACTCACTAACTTTAAGTCGCTCTGGATAAGAGCGTCTGCTAAAATGACTCAAATGTAAAAAATGTAATCAGTGTTACTAGCCAAGTGGGAAGGTGATAATTACCAGTTGGATGCATTCACGTGCTATGATCTTGTTGAGAAACGCCGATTGGCTAATGGCCAGCAAGCTGCATCATCCAGGGAAACCCTGCCTCAAGAGTTCCACAGCGACGTATTGGCCATGTTCGAGAGCATCAAAACTGTGATGTAGCAGCGACGTATTGGCCATGTTCAAGAGCAGCGACGTATTGGCCATGTTCGAGAGCATCAAAACTGTGATGTAGCAGCGACGTATTGGCCATGTTCAAGAGCAGCGACGTATTGGCCATGTTCGAGAGCAGCGACGTATTGGCCATGTTCGAGAGCAGCGACGTATTGGCCATGTTCGAGAGCAGCGACGTATTGGCCATGTTCGAGAGCAGCGACGTATTGGCCATGTTCGAGAGCAGCGACGTATTGGCCATGTTCGAGAGCAGCGACGTATTGGCCATGTTCGAGAGCATCAAAACTGTGATGTAGCCTATCATGGGTAGATTCTGAATCGCTGACCGAGTTACAAATAATATTGGGTAGTTATGTTAGAATCAGTCTCGACTCGCCGGCTGTGTCTGAACACCTGGCCTCAAAGACCCTGAATGTTTTATATATATATACACTGAACAAAAATATAAACACAACATGTAAAGTGCTGGTTTCATGAGCTGAAATAAAAGATCCCCTAAATGCTCCATACGCACAAAAAGCTTATTGCTCTCATGTTGTGCACAAATTTGTTTACATCCCTGTTAGTGAACATTTCTCCTTTGCCAAGATAATCCATCCACCTGACAGGTGTGGCATATCAAGAAGGTGATTAAACAGCATGATCATTACACAGGTGCACCTTGTGCTAGGGACAAAAGGCCACTGCTGGGGGGTGCTGAGGAGTATGTCTTTCTGTAATAAATCCCCCCCTGCCCAGTCATATGAAATCCATAGATTAGGGCCTAATGAATTTATTTTTAATTGACTGATTTCCTTATATGAACTGTAAAACCTTTGAAATTGTTGCATGTTGTGTTTATATTTTTGTTCAGTATATATTACAATAAAGATATGTGGATCAAAACCTCCATGGATCACTTCAATTTAGAGTGGCAAACATGGAAAATACAATCTAGATTAGGATAAGCATTATGTTCAGATGAAGCAGATATGGAGGTTTTACAGGAATCGCTGTTTTTTTATTATTTGTATTTATATATTTTTATTTTTAGGGGGTAGATCAGGTTTAATATTGCAGATACATTTTGGGCTCCATCAATTTAATTGTCGGCATCATTTCCAACCCCCATAGTGGTCCTCTGTAGCTCAGCTGGTAGAGCACGGTGCTTGTAACGCCAAGGTAGTGGGTTCGATCCCCGGGACCACCCATGCACAAAAATGTATGCACGCATGACTGTAAGTCGCTTTGGATAAAAGCGTCTGCTAAATGGCATATTATTATTATTATTATATGATTTCACCCCGTAATGTGTTGATACATAAGAGCGTCTGCTAAATTACGAAAATGTAAATGTAAAACATTAAGCTGCCCATAATGTGGTAGGCAAAATACTCTAGGAATGATGGTCAGGAGAAACATGTGGGAGTAAGAAAGAAGAGAGGGCTGAAATCTAATCCATTTGTTTTCAACTGTACAAAGGAACAATGTTGCTTCGTATTTCAGGTTGTCGCTTGGGGCGTTGTCAAGGGATTTACAGGTAAGACCTGTAGAATAAAACGAAAGTCACCCGTTCTAAAACGGAGCTACGGAATTGTTCCTTGTCTTTAGAAAACACTTTTATTAACGAGGGGCATGTGTAGTCGTCTACAGTATAACTTCTGTATTAAATTGTAAGCTATTAACCTGTATCTAGACTAATGAATATCGAGTTGTATAAATGGACATTACAGCGCTACAGTGGTTTGTGTTTAACGTAATTACCCGAATACAGTGTACCCCGGATGGAGATTGAATTTATCATAGTACTACTTAGTTTGACCAGTTAGGGACGCTGTCTACGTGTTCATCTGAATAGTTTATTTTACATGCATAATTTTTTGCACACCTACGTTCACCCACCCGTCTCTGGCCATGTCATCCCAGCTGCAGCCCTGGTCCTGTGAGCTACCTGTGGTGGGGGTGGGGAGGTGTAAGAGCTCCGGCCCTGTACAGGTGAGTCACATGGACCACCTGGTGTTGACCGTGAAGAGTGTTCCAGACACCTGCACCTTCTAGTCCTCTGTCCTGGGCATGGAGGTCATCACCTTTAAGGTACATTCTGAGTACTGACACAGAATGTACTGCATAATCAATGATTAATCTATTGATCACTTTTACTGAGATATTAATTATTCTACTTTGGATAAAACATGGAAACGTTTTCTACTGTTCTGACCATGGTAGTTTCCACAGCTAACAACCAACAAGGTCATTAAATACAAGTTGATAAACTCTCCAACTGGACTTTGTAAGCCTGTGGAAAAACTCCAGCAGATGGTAGCCTTCACCAGTCTCTCTCTTCTTCTTTACCCCAGGGTGACCGGAAGGCGCTGTGTTTTGGGCAGCAGAAGTTGAACCTGAACCAGGTGGGTCAGGAGTTTGAACCCAAGGCTCTGAGACCCACCTCAGGATCAGCTGACCTCTGTCTCCTCACCGCCACCCCCCTGGATGCTGTAGCTACACACCTACAGGTGATCAAACAGCCGCTACGCTCCTACAGTGGACACACTCCCAGTGGACACACTCCCAGTGGACACACTCCCAGTGGACACACTCCCAGTGGAAACACTCCCAGTGGACACACTCCCTGTGGAAACACTCCCAGTGGACACACTCCCAGTGGAAACACACCCAGTGGACACACTCCCAGTGGACACACTCCCAGTGGAAACACTCCCAGTGGACACACTCCCAGTGGAAACACACCCAGTGGACACACTCCCAGTGGACACACTCCCAGTGGACACACTCCCAGTGGAAACACACCCAGTGGACACACTCCCAGTGGACACACTCCCAGTGGACACACTCCCAGTGGAAACACTCCCAGTGGACACACTCCCTGTGGAAACACTCCCAGTGGACACACTCCCAGTGGAAACACACCCAGTGGACACACTCCCAGTGGAAACACTCCCAGTGGAAACACTCCCAGTGGAAACACATCAGTGGACACACTCCCTGTGGAAACACTCCCAGTGGACACACTCCCAGTGGACACACTCCCAGTGGAAACACTCCCAGTGGACACACTCCCAGTGGACACACTCCCAGTGGACACACTCCCAGTGGAAACACTCCCAGTGGACACACTCCCTGTGGAAACCCTCCCAGTGGACACACTCCCAGTGGAAACACACCCAGTGGACACACTCCCAGTGGACACACTCCCAGTGGAAACACACCCAGTGGACACACTCCCAGTGGACACACTCCCAGTGGACACACTCCCAGTGGACACACACCCAGTGGACACACTCCCAGTGGAAACACACCCAGTGAACACACTCCCAGTGGACACACTCCCAGTGGACACACTCCCAGTGGAAACACTCCCAGTGGACACACTCCCAGTGGACACACTCCCAGTGGAAACACTCCCAGTGGACACACTCGCTACGCTCCTACAGTGGACACACTCCCAGTGGACACACTCCCAGTGGAAACACTCCCAGTGGACACACTCGCTACGCTCCTACAGTGGACACACTCCCAGTGGACACACTCCCAGTGGACACACTCCCAGTGGACACACTCCCAGTGGAAACACTCCCAGTGGAAACACTCCCAGTGGACACACTCCCAGTGGAAACACTCCCAGTGGACACATTCCCAGTGGACACACTCCCAGTGGACACACTCCCAGTGGACACACTCCCAGTGGACACACTCCCAGTGGACACACTCCCAGTGGAAACACTCCCAGTGGACACATTCCCAGTGGACACACTCCCAGTGGACACACTCCCAGTGGACACACTCCCAGTGGACACACTCCCAGTGGAAACACTCCCAGTGGACACACTCCCAGTGGACACACTCCCTGTGGACACACTCCCAGTGGACACACTCCCAGTGGACACACTCCCAGTGGAAACACTCCCAGTGGACACACTCCCAGTGGAAACACTCCCAGTGGACACACTCCCAGTGGACACACTCCCAGTGGAAACACTCCCAGTGGACACACTCCCAGTGGACACACTCCCAGTGGACACACTCCCAGTGGACACACTCCCAGTAGACACACTCCCAGTGGAAACACTCGCTACGCTCCTACAGTGGACACACTCCCAGTGGAAACACTCCCAGTGGAAACACTCCCAGTGGACACACTCCCAGTGGAAACACTCCCAGTGGACACACTCCCAGTGGAAACACTCCCAGTGGAAACACTCCCAGTGGACACACTCCCAGTGGACACACTCCCAGTGGAAACACTCCCAGTGGACACACTCCCAGTGGAAACACTCCCAGTGGACACACTCCCAGTGGACACACTCCCAGTGGACACACTCCCAGTGGAAACACTCGCTACGCTCCTACAGTGGACACACTCCCAGTGGAAACACTCCCAGTGGAAACACTCCCAGTGGACACACTCCCAGTGGACACACTCGCTACGCTCCTACAGTACAGTGGACACACTCCCAGTGGACACACTCCCAGTGGAAACACTCCCAGTGGACACACTCCCAGTGGAAACACTCCCAGTGGACACACTCCCAGTGGAAACACTCCCAGTGGACACACTCCCAGTGGAAACACTCCCAGTGGACACACTCCCAGTGGACACACTCCCAGTGGAAACACACCCAGTGGACACACTCCCAGTGGAAACACACCCAGTGGACACACTCCCAGTGGACACACTCCCAGTGGAAACACTCCCAGTGGACACACTCCCAGTGGACACACTCCCAGTGGACACACTCCCTGTGGACACACTCCCAGTGGACACACTCCCAGTGGACACACTCCCAGTGGAAACACTCCCAGTGGACACACTCCCAGTGGACACACTCCCAGTGGAAACACTCCCAGTGGAAACACTCCCAGTGGACACACTCCCAGTGGAAACACTCCCAGTGGACACACTCCCAGTGGACACACTCCCAGTGGAAACACTCCCAGTGGACACACTCCCAGTGGAAACACTCCCAGTGGACACACTCCCAGTGGAAACACTCCCAGTGGACACACTCCCAGTGGACACACTCCCAGTGGACACACTCCCAGTGGACACACTCCCAGTGGAAACACACCCAGTGGAAACACTCCCAGTGGACACACTCCCAGTGGACACACTCCCAGTGGAAACACTCCCAGTGGACACACTCCCAGTGGAAACACTCCCAGTGGACACACTCCCAGTGGAAACACTCCCAGTGGACACACTCCCAGTGGAAACACTCCCAGTGGACACACTCCCAGTGGAAACACTCCCAGTGGAAACACTCCCAGTGGACACACTCCCAGTGGAAACACTCCCAGTGGACACACTCCCAGTGGAAACACTCCCAGTGGTTTTTTGCTTTAGCCAAATGATTTGTTGTTATCCTCAGCAGACAGTCTACCTCAGGGCACCCTGTTCCCTCTATAGAGTATTACTCTTGACGAGGGTCCATAGGGGTCTAATAGTAGTGCACTATGTAGGGAATAGGGGACCATTTGGGACTCAACCTCTCATTCTCCTGACCCTGACTGTTAGCGAAGTGCAATGGAGTGTGGGACACAGTATGTGTCCCAAATGTCACCCTTTTCGTTATGGGGCAGGGGCACTGATCAAAAGTAGTGCACTATGTAGGGGGAATAAGGTGCTACAGTTGAAGTCGGAGGTTTACATACACCTTAGCCAAATACATTTAAACTCTTTTTTTCACAATTCCTGACATTTAATCGTAGTAAAAATTCCCTGTCTCAGGTCAGTTAGGATCACCACTTTATTTTAAGAATGTGAAATGTCAGAATAATAGTAGAGAGAATGATTTATTTCAGCTTTTATTTCTTTCATCACATTCCCAGTGGGTCAGAAGTTTACATACACTCAATTAGTATTAACTTGGGTCAAACGTTTCGGGTAGCCTTCCACAAGCTTCCCACAATAAGTTGTGTCAATTTTGGCCCATTCCTCCTGACAGAGCTGGTGTAACTGAGTCAGGTTTGTAGGCCTCCTTGCTCGCACACGCTTTTTCAGTTCTGCCCACACATTTTCTATAGGATTGAGGTCAGGGCTTTGTGATGGCCACTCCAATACCTTGACTTTGTTGTCCTTAAGCCATTTTGCCACAACTTTGGAAGTATGCTTGGGGTCATTGTCCATTTGGAAGACCCATTTGCAACCAAGCTTTAACTTCCTGACTGATGTCTTGAGATGTTGCTTCAATATATCCACATAATTTTCCTTCCTCATGATGCCATGTATTTTGTGAAGTGCACCAGCCCTTCCTGCAGCAAAGCACCCCCAAAGCATGATGCTGCCACCCCCGTGCTTCACGGTTGGGATGGTGTTCTTCGGCTTGCAAGCAACCCCCTTTTTCCTCCAAACATAACGATGGTCATTATGGCTAAACAGTTCTATTTTTGTTTCATTAGACCAGAGGACATTTCTCCAAAAAGTACGATCTTCGTCCCCATGTGCAGTTGCAAACCGTAGTCTGGCTTTTTTATGGCGGTTTTGGAGCAGTGGCTTCTTCCTTGCTGAGCGGCCTTTCAGGTTATGTCGATATAGGGCTCGTTTTACTGTGGATGTAGATACTTTTGTACCTGTTTCCTCCAGCATCTTCACAAGGTCCTTTGCTGTTGTTCTGGGATTGATTTGCACTTTTCGCACCAAAGTACGTTCATCTCTAGGAGACAGAACGCGTCTCCTTCCTGAGCGGTATGACGGCTGCGTGGTCCCATGGTGTTTATACTTGCGTACTATTGTTTGTACAGATGAACATGGTACCTTCAGGCGTTTGGAAATTGCTCCCAAGGATGAACCAGACTTGTGGAGATCTACCATTTTTATTCTGAGGTCTTGGCTGATTTCTTTTGATTTTCCCATGATGTCAAGCAAAGAGGCACTGAGTGTGAAGGTAGGCCTTGAAATACATCCACTGGTACACCTCCAAATCACTCTAATTATGTAAATTAGCCTATCAGAAGTTTCTAAAGCCATGACATAATTTTCTGGAATTTTCCAAGCTGTTTAAAGGCACAGTCAACTTAGTGTATGTAAACTTCTGACCCACTGGAATTGTGATACAGTGAATTATAAGTGAAATAATCTGTCTGTAAACAATTGTTGGAAAAATTACTTGTGTCATGCACAAAGTAGATGTCCTAACCGACTTGCCAAAACTATAGTTTGTTAACAAGAAATTTGTTGAGTGGTTGAAAAAATGAGTTTTAATGACTCCAACCTAAGTGTATGTAAACTTCCGACTTCAAATGTATTTGGGAGGCAGACACCCTGTTTTCTCTCCAAAACGGTTCTCCTGATCTGGCAGACTCACTAATCCTGCTGGAACAAAGTGTCCTTGTCAGTGGGGCTGGCTAAACCCAGCTGCTTAAAGTGCCCTGAAATAGTATGAAGACGTAAATAACTAGTGGCATTATGGCTGTCTGTACATCCTGTCCCCCTGGCCTGGCTGCTTGTGTTAAGGTCTGTATGGCTGTCTGTACATCCTGTCCCCCTGGCCTGGCTGCTTGTGTTAAGGTCTGTATGGCTGTCTGTCCATCCTGTCCCCCTGGCCTGGCTGCTTGTGTTAAGGTCTGTATGGCTGTCTGTACATCCTGTCCCCCTGGCCTGGCTGCTTGTGTTAAGGTCTGTATGGCTGTCTGTACATCCTGTCCCCCTGGCCTGGCTGCTTGTGTTAAGGTCTGGATGGCTGTCTGTACATCATGTCCCCCTGGCCTGGCTGCTTGTGTTAAGGTCTGTATGGCTGTCTGTCCATCCTGTCCCCCTGGCCTGGCTGCTTGTGTTAAGGTCTGTATGGCTGTCTGTACATCCTGTCCCCCTGGCCTGGCTGCTTGTGTTAAGGTCTGTATGGCTGTCTGTCCATCCTGTCCCCCTGGCCTGGCTGCTTGTGTTAAGGTCTGTATGGCTGAATAATGCAATACAGAAAACAAGCCCTTCTATATAAAAGGCCTTTGTATTGTCTGTGTTGATTTTCATCACACGGTGTAACTGGTGTGTTCCAATGTAAATGTGTCATGTTAAGTTAACATGTTACTGTGAGTGAAGAGGTTGGCTCAGACAGTTAGTCCTAGGAGATGTTGGTCTTCTCCATGTTGGTCTTCACATTAATGTTAACTGATCCATGGAAAACCAACATGATACACACACACACACACACACACGCACACACACTGGCAGACATGGAGCTCTGGACAACACACACACAGACACGATACACTGACAGACATGGTGTGTTGGAGGAGGAAAACAAACTTCCTGTTCTTACTGCCCATCCATCCATCAGGCCTAGGTCCTAACTTCCTGTTACTGCCCATCCATCCATCAGGCCTAGGTCCTAACTTCCTGTTACTGCCCATGCCCATCCATTAATTCCTGTTACTGCTCCATCAGGCCTAGGTCTAACTCCTGTACTCCACCATCATCAGGCCTAGGTCTACTCCTGTACTGCCATCATCCTAGGCCTAGGTCCTAACTCCTGTACGCCCACCATCCACAGGCTAGGTCCTAACTTCCGTACTGCCCATCCATCACAGGCCTAGTCCTATCTGTACTGCCATCCATCATAGGCTGGTCCTAACTCCTGTTACTGCCCATCCATCATCAGGCCTAGGTCCTAACTTCCTGTTAACTGCCCATCCATCCATCAGGCCTAGTCTAACTTCCTGTTACTGCCCATCATCAGGCCTAGGTCCTAACTTCCTGTTACTGCCCATCCATCCATCAGGCTAGGTCCTAACTTCCTGTTACTGCCCATCCATCAGGCCTAGGTCCTAACTTCCTGTTACTGCCCATCACCATCAGGCCTAGGTCCTAACTTCCTGTTACTGCCCATCCATCCATCAGGCCTAGGTCCTAACTTCCTGTTACTGCCCATCCATCCATCAGGCCTAGGTCCTAACTTCCTGTTACTGCCCATCCATCCATCAGGCCTAGGTCCTAACTTCCTGTTACTCCTCCATCCATCCAGGCCTAGGTCCTAACTTCCTGTTACTGCCCATCCATCAGGCCTAGGTCCTAACTTCCTGTTACTGCCCATCCATCCATCAGGCCTAGGTCCTAACTTCCTGTTACTGCCCATCCATCCATCATGGCCTAGGTCCTAACTTCCTGTTTACTGCCCATCCATCAGGCCTAGGTCCTAAGACTTCCCTGTTATCTGCCCATCCATCCATCAGGCCTAGGTCCTAACTTCCTGTTACTGCCCATCCATCAGGCCTAGGTCCTAACTTCCTGTTACTGCCCATCCATCCATCAGGCCTAGGTCCTAACTTCCTGTTACTGCCCATCCATCCATCAGGCCTAGGTCCTAACTTCCTGTTACTGCCCATCCATCCATCAGGCCTAGGTCCTAACTCCTGTTACTGCTACCATCCATCATGGCCTAGGTCCTAACTTCCTGTTAACTGCCCTCATCCATCAGGCCTAGGTCCTAACTTCCTGTTTACTGCCCATCCATCCATCAGGCCTAGGTCCTAACTTCCTGTTCTTACTGCCCATCCATCCATCAGGCCTAGGTCCTAACTTCCTGTTCTTACTGCCCATCCACTCAGGCCTAGGTCCTAACTTCCTGTTACTGCATCATGCCCATCCTACCATTTCCAGCGCCTAGGTCCTAACTTCCTGTCTTACTGCCCATCCATCCATCAGGCCTAGGTCCTAACTTCCTGTTCTTACTGCCCATCCATCAGGCCTAGGTCCTAACTTCCTGTCTTACTGCCCATCCATCCATCAGGCCTAGGTCCTAACTTCCTGTACTCGCACTACTATCACTTTACTGCCCATCCATCCATCAGGCCTAGGTCCAACTTCCTGTTCTTACTGCTCCATCCATCAGGCCTAGGTCCTAACTTCCTGTTCTTACTGCCCATCCATCAGGCCTAGGTCCTAACTTCCTGTTCTTACTGCCCATCCATTCAGGCCTAGGTCCTAACTCCTGTTCTCTCTAGTCTAACTTCGTTTACTGCCCATCCATCCATCAGGCCTAGGTCCTAACTTCCTGTTACTGCCCATCCATCCATCAGGCCTAGGTCCTAACTTCCTGTTACTCATCATCATCAGGCCAGTCCTAATTTCCGTTCACTGCCCATCCATGGCCTAGGTCCTAACTTCCTGTTACTGCCCATCCATCCATCAGGCCTAGGTCCTAACTTCCTGTTACTGCCCATCCATCCATCAGGCCTAGGTCCTAACTTCCTGTTACTGCCCATCCATCCATCAGGCCTAGGTCCTAACTTCCTGTTACTGCCTCTCAGCATCAACTCTCACCCTCCATCAGGCCTAGGTCCTAACTTCCTGTTACTGCCCATCCATCCATCAGGCCTAGGTCCTAACTTCCTGTTACTGCCCATCCATCCATCAGGCCTAGGTCCTAACTTCCTGTTACTTGCTCCCATCCATCCATCAGGCTAGGTCCTAACTTCCTGTTACTGCCCATCCATCCATCAGGCCTAGGTCCTAACTTCCTGTTACTGCTCCTCCATCACCTATCCTACTTCTTATGCCCATCCATCCATCAGGCCTAGGTCCTAACTTCCTGTTAACTGCCCATCCACCATCAGGCCTAGGTCCTAACTTCCTGTTACTGCCCATCCATCCATCAGGCCTAGGTCCTAACTTCCTGTTACACTGCCCATCCATCCATCAGGCCTAGGTCCTAACTTCCTGTTACTGCCCATCCATCCATCAGGCCTAGGTCCTAACTTCCTGTTACTGCCCATCCATCCATCAGGCCTAGGTCCTAACTTCCTGTTCTACTGATTTTGCCCATCCATCCATCAGGCCTAGGTCCTAACTTCCTGTTACTGCCCATCCATCCATCAGGCCTAGGTCCTAACTTCCTGTTACTACCTCTACCTATCCAACTTCCTGTTACTCATCCATCTCAGGCCTAGGTCCTAACTTCCTGTTACTGCCCATCCATCAGGCCTAGGTCCTAACTTCCTGTTATACTGCCCATCCATCCTCAGGCCTAGGTCCTAACTTCCTGTTACTGCCCATCCATCCATCAGGCCTAGGTCCTAACTTCCTGTTACTGCCCATCCATCCATCAGGCCTAGGTCCTAACTTCCTGTTTTACTGCCCATCCATCCATCAGGCCTAGGTCCTAACTTCCCTATTCAGCTAGTCTACTTCTACTGCCCATCCATCCATCAGGCCTAGGTCCTAACTTCCTGTTACTTGCCCATCCATCCATCAGGCCTAGGTCCTAACTTCCTGTTACTGCCCATCCATCCATCAGGCCTAGGTCCTAACTTCCTGTTACTGCCCATCCATCCATCAGGCCTAGGTCCTAACTTCCTGTTACTGCCCATCCATCCATCAGCCTAGGTCCTAACTTCCTGTTACTGCCCATCCATCCATCAGGCCTAGGTCCTAACTTCCTGTTACTGCCCATCCATCCATCAGACCTAGGTCCTAACTTCCTGTTACTGCCCATCCACAGTAGTCCTAACTTCCGTATGGCCCTCCTCCATCGGCCTAGTCCTAACTTCCTGTTACTGCCCATCCATCCATCAGGCCTAGGTCCTAACTTCCTGTTACTGCCCATCCATCCATCAGGCCTAGGTCCTAACTTCCTGTTAACTCTGCCCCATCCATCCATCAGGCCTAGGTCCTAACTTCCTGTTACTGCACATCCATCCATCAGGCCTAGGTCCTAACTTCCTGTTACTGCCCATCCATCCATCAGGCCTAGGTCCTAACTTCCTGTTACGCCATCACTCGGCTAGTCTAACTTCTGGCCATCATCCATCAGGCCTAGGTCCTAACTTCCTGTTACTGCCCATCCATCCATCAGGCCTAGGTCCTAACTTCCTGTTCTTACTGCCCATCCATCCATCAGGCCTAGGTCCTAACTTCCTGTTCTTACTGCCCATCCATCAGGCCTAGGTCCTAACTTCCTGTTACTGCCCATCCATCCATCAGGCCTAGGTCCTAACTTCCTGTTACTGCCCATCCATCCATCAGGCCTAGGTCCTAACTTCCTGTTACTGCCCATCCATCCATCAGGCCTAGGTCCTAACTTCCTGTTACTGCCCATCCATCCATCAGGCCTATGTCCTAACTTCCTGTTACTGCCCATCCATCCATCAGGCCTAGGTCCTAACTTCCTGTTACTGCCCATCCATCAGGCCTAGGTCCTAACTTCCTGTTACTGCCCATCCATCCATCAGGCCTAGGTCCTAACTTCCTGTTCTTACTGCCCATCCATCCATCAGGCCTAGGTCCTAACTTCCTGTTACTGCCCATCCATCAGGCCTAGGTCCTAACTTCCTGTTACTGCCCATCCATCAGGCCTAGGTCCTAACTTCCTGTTACTGCCCATCCATCAGGCCAGGGGAGAGCGACTGCCCCTCTCTTTGAAGCAACGGAAGCTCAAAGCCGACCGCGGTACAGCAGGCATTGTTAGCAGAAAACAGGACCCCCCCATTATAGGAATGGAAAAATTGAAATCTTTGTTGTCAATCTTTGTGTAAAGAAACAAAACAATCAAAGACAATCATGGTACCAATAACTATTTCTAATACACCAGATGTATGTCCTTGAACGGATTATTTTAAAATAGCATACAGAAGGATTAGGATATAAGGATAATTTAGTTGCTAATGGCAGCCATTTATAGTAGTTGTGAATATATACAGTATGGAAGATTGAAGATGATATCCTCCTCAGTTTCCTCAACGGGAGGAGGTGGTGGAGGTTAAAGGAGGGATGTGAGGAAGAGGAGGAGGAGGAGGGGGAGGAGGAGGAGGTTAAAGGAGGGATGTGAGGAGGAGGAGAGGAGGAGGAGGTGGAGGAGGAGGAGGTGGAGGGGGAGGAGGTTAAAGGAGGGATGTGAGGAGGAGGAGAGGAGGAGGAGGTTAAAGGAGGGATGTGAGGAGGAGGAGAGGAGGAGGAGGAGGTTAAAGGAGGGATGTGAGGAGGAGGAGAGGAGGAGGAGGAGGAGGAGGGGGAGGAGGAGGAGGACGAGGAGGAGAGGAGGACGAGGTGGAGGAGGGGGAGGAGGAGGTGGAGGAGGATGAGGTTTCCAGGAAAAGGGAGCAGTATATCATTCTGTCTGGACTATTGTGTCACCAAGCACTTTGTGGTTTATTACATGGAACATACAGCGCCTTCAGAAAGTATTCACACCCCTTGACTTTATCCACATTTTGTTGTGTTACAAATTGGTATTAAAATGGATTTAATTGTACTTTTTTTCAATGATCTACACAAAATACTCTGTAATGTCAAAGTGGAAGAAAAATTCTAACATTATTTAAAGATGAATTAAAAATGTAACACTAATATATCTTGATTAGATCAGTATTCTACCCTGACTCAATACATGTTACAATAACCTTTTTGCAGTGATTCCAGCTGGGAGTCTTCCTGGGTATGTCTGTAAGAGCTTTCCACACCTGGATTGTACAAAATTAGCATATTATTCTTTTCAGAATTCTTCAAGCTCTGTCAAGTTGGTTGTTGATCGTTGCTAGACAGCCATTTTCAAATCTTGCCATGGATTTTCAAGCCTATATAAGTCAAAACCGTAACTAGGCCACTCAGGAACATTCAATGGTGTCTTGGTAATCAACTCCGGTGTATATTTGGCCTTGAGTCTGGGAGACAAATGTCCTCTAGGATTTTGCCCTATAAAAACCTCCCTAGTCCTTGCCGATGAAGAGCAGATACATAGCATGATGCAGTCACCACCATGCTTGAAAATATGAAGAGTGGTACTCCGTGACGTGTTGTGTTGGATGTGCCACAAACATAACGCTTTGTATTCAGGACAAAATGTTCATTTCTTTGCCACATTTTAGCTGCAGACTTGGCAGGAACTAATGGGGATCCATAATAAACCCCAGGAAGAGTAGCTGCTGCCTTGGCAGGAACTAATGGGGATCCATAATAAACCCCAGGAAGAGTAGCTGCTGCCTTGGCAGGAACTAATGGGGATCCATAATAAACCCCAGGAAGAGTAGCTGCTGCCTTGGCAGGAACTAATGGGGATCCATAATAAACCCCAGGAAGAGTAGCTGCTGCCTTGGCAGGAACTAATGGGGATCCATAATAAACCCCAGGAAGAGTAGCTGCTGCCTTGGCAGGAACTAATGGGGATCCATAATAAATAAAAATAACTGCAAGGAAAGTCCTACTTCATCACTAGTCACAGATGGAGGGATGGAGAGTAACAGGAACATATAGGATCAGGATCAGATGAAAGTAACAGGAACATATAGGATCAGGATCAGATGAAAGTAACAGGAACATATAGGATCAGGATCAGATGAAAGTTACAGGAACATATAGGATCAGGATCAGATGAAAGTAACAGGAACATATAGGATCAGGATCAGATGAAAGTAACAGGAACATATAGGATCAGGATCAGATGAAAGTTACAGGAACATATAGGATCAGAAGAGTTCCAGACAGACGTGCTGCATATTTCCCTGTGATGTTCCGATGTAACAGTTGTTTTAAACTTCACAATGAAACACCTTAATGTCCACAGCCCCCACGCCCTCGGACCAGAGCTTTTGTGTGTGTGTGTGTGTGTGTGTGTGTGTGTGTGTGTCTCTAAGTGGAGGAGAAGTTTGGGTAAATAAAGAGAAGAAATGTTTCCTCATTCCCCTGCCATTCCTGGTTATTTGAAGTGGAACTAAATTAATATGTGGTTGTAAATCTGGATGGGAGGAAACAGGCTGGACAGGGTAGCTGTTGACAGTCCGGAGGCCCAGAGGGGTGCTCAGCCCTGTGTGTTTGCCCAGCTCAGCCCTACCCTGGCTGGTTTACCGGCAGCAGGCCCCAGCCCTCCTCTCCCCCCTGGCCCTGGTCCAGTCTAGCAGTGTTGGAACAGTTGGATCAACAGAGAGGGGTGAGGTCCTGTCTCTGTAGCCGGTAGTCTCCACTTCATATAAATAAAACTGTAAAGAGGTAAAGAGGCCTTTTATAAATGTTGGGAGAACAAACTGTGCTTCGCTGGGGGATAGTCATCGCCCGGGGATTCCTTCCTTGATTCCCCCCACCTCCTCGCTCTCTCCCTCTCTCCATCCCTCTCTCCCTCCACCCCTTGGTCATCTAGATGTGATGGACTAGCCAGTCTTGTTCAGTCTCTGCCATGATGGCAGCCCGCTCTTTCTCAGGAGAAAGGAATGAGGGGCTGAGAGACTAAGGGCTCGATTCAATCAGATTTGCGTTAGCCGACACCTGCGTAGCTGGCATTTTGACGGTGTTGGAGATGGAACCGTGTTAGAACTGTCAGATCCACTAGCAGCTCCTGGTGTTATACCGATCGGACATTGCCATTGAGTCACATTAATAGGAATCACATGCGGCCGTGTTTACATGTTTGATTAGTATGTCCCTGACTCATACAGCACAGTAAAGTATATAGGCAACACATCTCAGAGTACAGTATATAGGCAACACGTCTCACAGTACAGTATATAGGCAACACATCTCAGAGTACAGTATATAGGCAACACGTCTCTCAGTAAAGTATATAGGCAACACGTCTCACAGTACAGTATATAGGCAACACGTCTCAGAGTAAAGTATATAGGCAACACGTCTCAGAGTAAAGTATATAGGCAACACGTCTCACAGTACAGTATATAGGCAACACGTCTCAGAGTAAAGTATATAGGCAACACGTCTCACAGTAAAGTATATAGGCAACACGTCTCACAGTACAGTATATAGGCAACACGTCTCACAGTAAAGTATATAGGCAACACGTCTCTCAGTAAAGTATATAGGCAACACGTATCACAGTACAGTATATAGGCAACACGTCTCAGAGTAAAGTATATAGGCAACACGTCTCACAGTAAAGTATATAGGCAACACGTCTCAGAGTACAGTATATAGGCAACACGTCTCACAGTACAGTATATAGGTAACACGTCTCACAGTAAAGTACAGTATATAGGCAACACGTCTCAGAGTAAAGTATATAGGCAACACGTCTCAGAGTACAGTATATAGGTAACACGTCTCAGAGTAAAGTATATAGGCAACACGTCTCACAGTACAGTATATAGGCAACACGTCTCAGAGTAAAGTATATAGGCAACACGTCTCACAGTACAGTATATAGGTAACACGTCTCACAGTACAGTATATAGGCAACACGTCTCACAGTAAAGTATATAGGCAACACGTCTCAGAGTAAAGTATATAGGCAACACGTCTCACAGTACAGTATATAGGCAACACGTCTCAGAGTAAAGTATATAGGCAACACGTCTCACAGTACAGTATATAGGCAACACGTCTCAGAGTAAAGTATATAGGCAACACGTCTCACAGTACAGTATATAGGCAACACGTCTCAGAGTAAAGTATATAGGCAACACGTCTCACAGTACAGTATATAGGCAACACGTCTCACAGTAAAGTATATAGGCAACACGTCTCAGAGTAAAGTATATAGGCAACACGTCTCACAGTACAGTATATAGGCAACACGTCTCACAGTACAGTATATAGGCAACACGTCTCAGAGTAAAGTATATAGGCAACACGTCTCACAGTAAAGTATATAGGCAACACGTCTCAGAGTACAGTATATAGGCAACACGTCTCACAGTACAGTATATAGGCAACACGTCTCACAGTAAAGTACAGTATATAGGCAACACGTCTCACAGTAAAGTATATAGGCAACACGTCTCACAGTAAAGTACAGTATATAGGCAACACGTCTCACAGTAAAGTATATAGGCAACACGTCTCAAAGTAAAGTACAGTATATAGGCAACACGTCTCAGAGTAAAGTATATAGGCAACACGTCTCACAGTAAAGTATATAGGCAACACGTCTCAGAGTACAGTACATAGGCAACACGTCTCACAGTAAAGTATATAGGGAACACGTCTCAGAGTACAGTATATAGGCAACACGTCTCACAGTACAGTATATAGGCAACACGTCTCACAGTACAGTATATAGGCAACACGTCTCACAGTAAAGTATAGGCAACACGTCTCACAGTAAAGTATATAGGCAACACGTCTCAGAGTAAAGTATATAGGCAACACGTCTCAGAGTAAAGTATATAGGCAACACGTCTCACAGTACAGTATATAGGCAACACGTCTCAGAGTACAGTATATAGGCAACACGTCTCAGAGTAAAGTATATAGGCAACACGTCTCAGAGTACAGTATATAGGCAACACGTCTCAGAGTAAAGTATATAGGCAACACGTCTCAGAGTACAGTATATAGGCAACACGTCTCAGAGTAAAGTATATAGGCAACACGTCTCACAGTAAAGTATATAGGCAACACGTCTCAGAGTACAGTATATAGGCAACACGTCTCAGAGTAAAGTATATAGGCAACACGTCTCAGAGTACAGTATATAGGCAACACGTCTCACAGTAAAGTATATAGGCAACACGTCTCACAGTAAAGTACAGTATATAGGCAACACGTCTCACAGTAAAGTATATAGGCAACACGTCTCAAAGTAAAGTACAGTATATAGGCAACACATCTCAGAGTAAAGTATATAGGCAACACGTCTCACAGTACAGTATATAGGCAACACGTCTCACAGTACAGTATATAGGCAACACGTCTCACAGTAAAGTATAGGCAACACGTCTCACAGTAAAGTATATAGGCAACACGTCTCAGAGTAAAGTATATAGGCAACACGTCTCAGAGTAAAGTATATAGGCAACACGTCTCACAGTACAGTATATAGGCAACACGTCTCAGAGTACAGTATATAGGCAACACGTCTCAGAGTAAAGTATATAGGCAACACGTCTCAGAGTACAGTATATAGGCAACACGTCTCAGAGTAAAGTATATAGGCAACACGTCTCAGAGTACAGTATATAGGCAACACGTCTCAGAGTAAAGTATATAGGCAACACGTCTCACAGTAAAGTATATAGGCAACACGTCTCAGAGTACAGTATATAGGCAACACGTCTCAGAGTAAAGTATATAGGCAACACGTCTCAGAGTAAAGTATATAGGCAACACGTCTCACAGTACAGTATATAGGTAACACGTCTCAGAGTAAAGTATATAGGTAACACGTCTCACAGTACAGTATATAGGCAACACGTCTCACAGTACAGTATATAGGCAACACGTCTCACAGTAAAGTATATAGGCAACACGTCTCACAGTAAAGTATATAGGCAACACGTCTCAGAGTACAGTATATAGGCAACACGTCTCACAGTACAGTATATAGGCAACACGTCTCAGAGTAAAGTATATAGGCAACACGTCTCACAGTAAAGTATATAGGCAAACACGTCTCTCAGTGCAGTATATAGGCAACACGTCTCACAGTACAGTATATAGGCAACACGTCTCAGAGTAAAGTATATAGGCAACACGTCTCACAGTAAAGTATATAGGCAACACGTCTCAGAGTAAAGTATATAGGCAACACGTCTCACAGTAAAGTATATAGGCAACACGTCTCAGAGTAAAGTATATAGGCAACACGTCTCAGAGTAAAGTATATAGGCAACACGTCTCACAGTACAGTATATAGGCAACACGTCTCAGAGTAAAGTATATAGGCAACACGTCTCTCAGTAAAGTATATAGGCAACACGTCTCACAGTACAGTATATAGGCAACACGTCTCAGAGTAAAGTATATAGGCAACACATCTCACAGTACAGTATATAGGCAACACGTCTCAGAGTAAAGTATATAGGCAACACGTCTCACAGTAAAGTATATAGACAACACGTCTCAGAGTAAAGTATATAGGCAACACGTCTCACAGTACAGTATATAGGCAACACGTCTCACAGTAAAGTATATAGGCAACACGTCTCAGAGTAAAGTATATAGGCAACACGTCTCACAGTACAGTATATAGGCAACACGTCTCAGAGTAAAGTATATAGGCAACACGTCTCAGAGTAAAGTATATAGGCAACACGTCTCACAGTAAAGTATATAGGCAACACGTCTCACAGTACAGTATATAGGCAACACGTCTCACAGTACAGTATATAGGCAACACGTCTCAGAGTAAAGTATATAGGTAACACGTCTCACAGTACAGTATATAGGCAACACGTCTCAGAGTAAAGTATATAGGTAACACGTCTCACAGTACAGTATATAGGCAACACGTCTCACAGTAAAGTATATAGGCAACACGTCTCACAGTAAAGTACAGTATATAGGCAACACGTCTCACAGTAAAGTATATAGGCAACACGTCTCAAAGTAAAGTACAGTATATAGGCAACACGTCTCAGAGTAAAGTATATAGGCAACACGTCTCACAGTAAAGTATATAGGCAACACGTCTCAGAGTACAGTATATAGGCAACACGTCTCACAGTAAAGTATATAGGGAACACGTCTCAGAGTACAGTATATAGGCAACACGTCTCACAGTACAGTATATAGGCAACACGTCTCACAGTACAGTATATAGGCAACACGTCTCACAGTACAGTATATAGGCAACACGTCTCACAGTAAAGTATAGGCAACACGTCTCACAGTAAAGTATATAGGCAACACGTCTCAGAGTAAAGTATATAGGCAACACGTCTCAGAGTAAAGTATATAGGCAACACGTCTCACAGTACAGTATATAGGCAACACGTCTCAGAGTACAGTATATAGGCAACACGTCTCAGAGTAAAGTATATAGGCAACACGTCTCACAGTACAGTATATAGGGAACACGTCTCAGAGTAAAGTATATAGGCAACACGTCTCAGAGTACAGTATATAGGCAACACGTCTCAGAGTAAAGTATATAGGCAACACGTCTCAGAGTACAGTATATAGGCAACACGTCTCAGAGTAAAGTATATAGGCAACACGTCTCACAGTAAAGTATATAGGCAACACGTCTCAGAGTACAGTATATAGGCAACACGTCTCAGAGTAAAGTATATAGGCAACACGTCTCAGAGTAAAGTATATAGGCAACACGTCTCACAGTACAGTATATAGGTAACACGTCTCAGAGTAAAGTATATAGGTAACACGTCTCACAGTACAGTATATAGGCAACACGTCTCACAGTACAGTATATAGGCAACACGTCTCACAGTAAAGTATATAGGCAACACGTCTCACAGTAAAGTATATAGGCAACACGTCTCAGAGTACAGTATATAGGCAACACGTCTCACAGTACAGTATATAGGCAACACGTCTCAGAGTAAAGTATATAGGCAACACGTCTCACAGTAAAGTATATAGGCAACACGTCTCTCAGTACAGTATATAGGCAACACGTCTCACAGTACAGTATATAGGCAACACGTCTCAGAGTAAAGTATATAGGCAACACGTCTCACAGTAAAGTATATAGGCAACACGTCTCAGAGTAAAGTATATAGGCAACACGTCTCACAGTACAGTATATAGGCAACACGTCTCAGAGTAAAGTATATAGGCAACACGTCTCAGAGTAAAGTATATAGGCAACACGTCTCACAGTAAAGTATATAGGCAACACGTCTCACAGTACAGTATATAGGCAACACGTCTCACAGTACAGTATATAGGCAACACGTCTCAGAGTAAAGTATATAGGTAACACGTCTCACAGTACAGTATATAGGCAACACGTCTCAGAGTAAAGTATATAGGTAACACGTCTCACAGTACAGTATATAGGCAACACGTCTCACAGTAAAGTATATAGGCAACACGTCTCACAGTAAAGTACAGTATATAGGCAACACGTCTCACAGTAAAGTATATAGGCAACACGTCTCAAAGTAAAGTACAGTATATAGGCAACACGTCTCAGAGTAAAGTATACAGGCAACACGTCTCACAGTAAAGTATATAGGCAACACGTCTCAGAGTACAGTATATAGGCAACACGTCTCACAGTAAAGTATATAGGGAACACGTCTCAGAGTACAGTATATAGGCAACACGTCTCACAGTACAGTATATAGGCAACACGTCTCACAGTACAGTATATAGGCAACACGTCTCACAGTACAGTATAAAGGCAACACGTCTCACAGTAAAGTATAGGCAACACGTCTCACAGTAAAGTATATAGGCAACACGTCTCAGAGTAAAGTATATAGGCAACACGTCTCAGAGTAAAGTATATAGGCAACACGTCTCACAGTACAGTATATAGGCAACACGTCTCAGAGTACAGTATATAGGCAACACGTCTCAGAGTAAAGTATATAGGCAACACGTCTCACAGTACAGTATATAGGGAACACGTCTCAGAGTAAAGTATATAGGCAACACGTCTCAGAGTACAGTATATAGGCAACACGTCTCAGAGTAAAGTATATAGGCAACACGTCTCAGAGTACAGTATATAGGCAACACGTCTCAGAGTAAAGTATATAGGCAACACGTCTCACAGTAAAGTATATAGGCAACACGTCCAGAGTACAGTATATAGGCAAACACGTCTCAGAGTAAAGTATATAGGCAAACACGTCTCAGAGTAAAGTATATAGGCAACACGTCTCACAGTACAGTATATAGGTAAACACGTCTCAGAGTAAAGTATAATAGGTAACACGTCTCACAGTACAGTATATAGGCAACACGTCTCACAGTACAGTATATAGGCAACACGTCTCACAGTAAAGTATATAGGCAACACGTCTCACAGTAAAGTATATAGGCAACACGTCTCAGAGTACAGTATATAGGCAACACGTCTCACAGTACAGTATATAGGCAACACGTCTCAGAGTAAAGTATATAGGCAACACGTCTCACAGTAAAGTATATAGGCAACACGTCTCAGAGTAAAGTATATAGGCAACACGTCTCACAGTAAAGTATATAGGCAACACGTCACGTCTCAGAGTAAAGTATATAGGCAACACGTCTCACAGTACAGTATATAGGCAACACGTCTCAGAGTAAAGTATATAGGCAACACGTCTCTCAGTAAAGTATATAGGCAACACGTCTCACAGTACAGTATATAGGCAACACGTCTCAGAGTAAAGTATATAGGCAACACGTCTCACAGTACAGTATATAGGCAACACGTCTCAGAGTAAAGTATATAGGCAACACGTCTCACAGTACAGTATATAGGCAACACGTCTCAGAGTAAAGTATATAGGCAACACGTCTCACAGTAAAGTATATAGGCAACACGTCTCAGAGTAAAGTATATAGGCAACACGTCTCACAGTACAGTATATAGGCAACACGTCTCACAGTAAAGTATATAGGCAACACGTCTCAGAGTAAAGTATATAGGCAACACGTCTCACAGTACAGTATATAGGCAACACGTCTCAGAGTAAAGTATATAGGCAACACGTCTCAGAGTAAAGTATATAGGCAACACGTCTCACAGTAAAGTATATAGGCAACACGTCTCACAGTACAGTATATAGGCAACACGTCTCACAGTACAGTATATAGGGAACACGTCTCAGAGTACAGTATATAGGTAACACGTCTCACAGTACAGTATATAGGTAACACGTCTCACAGTAAAGTATATAGGCAACACGTCTCACAGTAAAGTATATAGGCAACACGTCTCACAGTACAGTATATAGGCAACACGTCTCACAGTACAGTATATAGGCAACACGTCTCAGAGTACAGTATATAGGTAACACGTCTCAGAGTACAGTATATAGGTAACACGTCTCACAGTAAAGTATATAGGCAACACGTCTCACAGTACAGTATATAGGCAACACGTCTCACAGTAAAGTATATAGGTAACACGTCTCACAGTACAGTATATAGGTAACACGTCTCAGAATAAAGTATATAGGCAACACGTCTCAGAGTACAGTATATAGGCAACACGTCTCACAGTAAAGTATATAGGTAACACGTCTCACAGTACAGTATATAGGTAACACGTCTCACAGTAAAGTATATAGGCAACACGTCTCACAGTAAAGTATATAGGCAACACGTCTCACAGTACAGTATATAGGCAACACGTCTCAGAGTAAAGTATATAGGCAACACGTCTCAGAGTACAGTATATAGGCAACACGTCTCACAGTAAAGTATATAGGTAACACGTCTCACAGTACAGTATATAGGTAACACGTCTCACAGTAAAGTATATAGGCAACACGTCTCACAGTAAAGTATATAGGCAACACGTCTCACAGTACAGTATATAGGCAACACGTCTCAGAGTAAAGTATATAGGCAACACGTCTCAGAGTACAGTATATAGGCAACACGTCTCACAGTAAAGGATGTGTGTACTGTTTGATGCTTGGTTAACTCTCACAGTAAAGTAGCAAAGAGGCTGTTTTGGTACAATTTGGCTGATTTAAGAATAGACTTGATAGTTGATAGATAGTGTTTCGGTAGTTGGCCCAGCGTCGTCCGGGTTCGGCCGGTGTAGGCCGTCATTGGAAATAAGAATTTGTTCTTAACTGACTTGCCTGGTTAAATAAAGGTCAAATAAAAAATGCATGTTTTTGTTGTTATTGTATTTCAGGTGGAGAGGGAAGAGCACTAGAGCATGTAACCTAACTATTCAAAACTAACATGGGTCATTTACACAGCTTTATTGCATTTAGTCATCCCCCAAATTCGGCCATTGAAAGCCTTGACCCTTGACAGCCTTCCTCAGGGAACGGCCTGCTGGCAGCCTTCCTCAGGGAACGGCCTGCTGGCAGCCTTCCTCAGGGAACGGCCTGCTGGCAGCCTTCCTCAGGGAACGGCCTGCTGGCAGCCTTCCTCAGGGAACGGCCTGCTGGCAGCCTTCCTCAGGGAACGGCCTGCTGGCAGCCTTCCTCAGGGAACGGCCTGCTGGCAGCCTTCCTCAGGGAACGGCCTGCTGACAGCCTTCCTCAGGGAACGGCCTGCTGACAGCCTTCCTCAGGGAACGGCCTGCTGGCAGCCTTCCTCAGGGAACGGCCTGCTGACAGCCTTCCTCAGGGAACGGCCTGCTGGCAGCCTTCCTCAGGGAACGGCCTGCTGGCAGCCTTCCTCAGGGAACGGCCTGCTGACAGCCTTCCTCAGGGAACGGCCTGCTGACAGCCTTCCTCAGGGAACGGCCTGCTGGCAGCCTTCCTCAGGGAACGGCCTGCTGACAGCCTTCCTCAGGGAACGGCCTGCTGGCAGCCTTCCTCAGGGAACGGCCTGCTGACAGCCTTCCTCAGGGAACGGCCTGCTGCTCTCGAGTTCCATGGTCCAGCAGACTCACCTGTGGACAGAGGGACAGAAGCATTTTAGTTTTAATTAAAGTCTGGGACACTTGAGGAAGGAGAACGTTTTGACGTACAGTAAATCCAACCAGTGACCCTTGGTTATATGATTCTGGACAACAGACACAGTCAGCCTGGACAACAGACAGACTGGACAACAGACACAGTCAGCCTGGACAACAGACACAGTCAGCCTGGACAACAGACAGACTGGACAACAGACACAGTCAGCCTATACAACAGACACAGTCAGCCTAGACAACAGACACAGTCAGCCTGGACAACAGACACAGTCAGCCTAGACAACAGACACAGTCAGCCTAGACAACAGACACAGTCAGCCTAGACAACAGACACAGTCAGACTGGACAACAGACACAGTCAGCCTAGACAACAGACACAGTCAGACTGGACAACAGACACAGTCAGCCTGGACAACAGACACAGTCAGCCTGGACAACAGACACAGTCAGCCTAGACAACAGACACAGTCAGACTGGACAACAGACAGACTGGACAACAGACACAGTCAGCCTGGACAACAGACACAGTCAGCCTAGACAACAGACACAGTCAGACTGGACAACAGACACAGTCAGACTGGACAACAGACACAGTCAGCCTAGACAACAGACACAGTCAGCCTGGACAACAGACACAGTCAGCCTGGACAACAGACACAGTCAGCCTAGACAACAGACAGACTGGACAACAGACACAGTCAGCCTGGACAACAGACAGACTGGACAACAGACACAGTCAGCCTATACAACAGACACAGTCAGCCTGGACAACAGACACAGTCAGCCTGGACAACAGACAGACTGGACAACAGACACAGTCAGCCTGGACAACAGACACAGTCAGCCTGGACAACAGACAGACTGGACAACAGACACAGTCAGCCTGGACAACAGACACAGTCAGACTGGACAACAGACAGGATTACAGACCCAGAATAAAGATACCTGTTATTAACAGACTCAGTGTTGTGATGATAAATGTGTCATCACCAATCCAAGGAAGACAGTTGGTTTACCACACCAGACAGGGAACAGTAATACAGAGTAAATTGTAACTAACAGTTATTTGAAATATTTTGTCTGGTGCTTCTGATGTTTTTAAAAACTCTGTCTCTATGACCTGCCTGCCTGCCTGTCTGTCTGTCTGTCTGTCTCTATGACCTGCCTGCCTGCCTGTCTGTCTGTCTCTATGACCTGTCTGTCTGTCTGTCTGTCTGTCTGTCTGTCTGTCTGTCTGTCTGTCTGTCTGTCTGTCTGTCTGTCTGTCTGTCTGTCTGTCTGTCTGTCTGTCTGTCTGTCTCTATGACCTGTCTGTCTGTCTGTCTGTCTGTCTGTCTGTCTGTCTGTCTGTCTGTCTGTCTCTATGACCTGCCTGCCTGCCTGCCTGCCTGCCTGCCTGCCTGTCTGTCTGTCTCTATGACCTGCCTGCCTGCCTGTCTGTCTGTCTCTATGACCTGTCTGTCTGTCTGTCTGTCTGTCTCTATGACCTGTCTGTCTGTCTGTCTGTCTGTCTGTCTCTATGACCTGCCTGCCTGCCTGCCTGCCTGCCTGCCTGCCTGCCTGCCTGCCTGCCTGCCTGCCTGCCTGCCTGCCTGTCTGTCTGTCTCTATGACCTGCCTGCCTGCCTGTCTGTCTGTCTCTATGACCTGCCTGCCTGCCTGTCTGTCTGTCTCTATGACCTGCCTGCCTGCCTGCCTGCCTGTCTCTATGACCTGCCTGCCTGTCTGCCTGCCTGCCTGTCTGTCTGTCTCTATGACCTGCCTGCCTGCCTGTCTGTCTGTCTCTATGACCTGCCTGCCTGCCTGTCTGTCTGTCTCTATGACCTGCCTGCCTGCCTGTCTGTCTGTCTCTATGACCTGCCTGCCTGCCTGTCTGTCTGTCTCTATGACCTGCCTGCCTGCCTGCCTGTCTGTCTGTCTCTATGACCTGCCTGCCTGCCTGTCTGTCTGTCTCTATGACCTGCCTGCCTGCCTGTCTGTCTGTCTCTATGACCTGCCTGCCTGCCTGCCTGCCTGTCTCTATGACCTGTCTGTCTGTCTGTCTGTCTGTCTGTCTGTCTGTCTGTCTGTCTGTCTCTATGACCTGCCTGTCTGCCGCATGTGATTCCTACTAATGTGTCATCTCCCGTCTGGATTACTGCAACTCGCTGTTGGCTGGGCTCCCTGCCTGTGCCATTAAACCCCTACAACTCGCTGTTGGCTGGGCTCCCTGCCTGTGCCATTAAACCCCTGCAACTCGCTGTTGGCTGGGCTCCCTGCCTGTGCCATTAAACCCCTGCAACTCGCTGTTGGCTGGGCTCCCTGCCTGTGCCATTAAACCCCTGCAACTCGCTGTTGGCTGGGCTCCCTGCCTGTGCCATTAAACCCCTGCAACTCGCTGTTGGCTGGGCTCCCTGCCTGTGCCATTAAACCCCTGCAACTCGCTGTTGGCTGGGCTCCCTGCCTGTGCCATTAAACCCCTGCAACTCGCTGTTGGCTGGGCTCCCTGCCTGTGCCATTAAACCCCTGCAACTCGCTGTTGGCTGGGCTCCCTGCCTGTGCCATTAAACCCCTACAACTCATCCAGAATGCTGCAGCCCGTCTGGTATCTCCCGTCTGGATTACTGCAACTCGCTGTTGGCTGGGCTCCCTGCCTGTGCCATTAAACCCCTACAACTCATCCAGAATGCCGCAGCCCGTCTGGTATCTCCCGTCTGGATTACTGCAACTCGCTGTTGGCTGGGCTCCCTGCCTGTGCCATTAAACCCCTGCAACTCGCTGTTGGCTGGGCTCCCTGCCTGTGCCATTAAACCCCTACAACTCATCCAGAATGCCGCAGCCCATCTGGTATCTCCCGTCTGGATTACTGCAACTCGCTGTTGGCTGGGCTCCCTGCCTGTGCCATTAAACCCCTACAACTCATCCAGAATGCCGCAGCCCGTCTGGTGTTCAACCTTCCCAAGTTCTCTCACGTCACCCCCCTCCTCCGCACACTCCACTGGCTTCCAGTTGAAGCTCGCATCTGCTACAAGACCATGGTGCTTGCCTACGGAGCTGTGAGGGGAACGGCACCTCCGTACATTCAGGCTCTGATCAGTCCCTACACCCAAACGAGGGCACTGCGTTCATCCACCTCTGGCCTGCTGGCCCCCCTACCTCTGCGGAAGCATAGTTCCCGCTCAGCCCAGTCAAAGCTGTTCGCTGCTCTGGCACCCCAATGGTGGAACAAGCTCCCTCACGACGCCAGGACAGCGGAGTCACTCACCACCTTCCGGAGACATTTGAAACCCCACCTCTTTAAGGAACACCTGGGATAGGATAAAGTAATCCTTCTACCCCCCCCCCCCCCCCCCCCCCCCCCTTTACTCGAACACCCCCCCCAAAAAAATAAAAATAAAATGAAAAATAAAATGAAAAAAACATTTACTAATATAAATAAAACAAAATATAAAAAATATAAAAAAGTTTGTAAAGTGGTGATCCCACTGGCTATAAGGTGAATGCACCTATTTGTAAGTCGCCTGCTAAATGACGTAAATGTAAAATGTAAATGTCTGTCTGTCTGTCTGTCTGTCTGTCTGTCTGTCTGTCTGTCTGTGTTTATAGGAGCAGGATCCATATCCCAGTATCGCTCAGTTCTCTGCCTCTCCCTCTCCCTCTCTGTGAACAATAACACTGGCCCTAGTCAGTAATGTTCTATTGTAATAACTGTCAGAGTGACTGTAGTGACTGAACAGGAATATCTCTCTATGTATCCCACAGTTAGAAGCTGGAAGTTCAGCATACGTGTTATTGGGCACAGAGGGGAGATTGTGTTAACAACAAGGACCCTCAGTGTGTACTCCAGCCAGTCCACTCTGCTCTGCTGTACTCCACCCTGCTGACATATCCAGCTTGGAAATGTGTTTTGGACATCAGGACTCTAAGCTCTGTTGTAGTTCTATTTAAGTTCTGACTGAGCTCTGCCAAGGGTGGAGCTAAATGATATTAGCATGGCAAGATGATGATCTGCCCATCAGCACTCTGTATTTGTCTGTCTGTCTGTCTGTCTGTCTGTCTGTCTGTCTGTCTGTCTGTCTGTCTGTCTGTCTGTCTGTCTGTCTGCCTGGAACTAATGGGGATCCATAATAAACCCCGGTGAGGTGAGGTGAGGCCAGGGTAACCCTGGAGAGGTGAGGTGAGGCCAGGGAAACCCTGGAGAGGTGAGGTGAGTCCAGGGAAACCCTGGAGAGGTGAGGTGAGTCCAGGGAAACCCTGGAGAGGTGAGGTGAGTCCAGGGAAACCCTGGAGAGGTGAGGTGAGGCCAGGGGAACCCTGGAGAGAAGAGGCCAGGGAAACCCTGGAGACGTGAGGCCAGGGAAACCCTGGAGAGGTGAGGCCAGGGAAACCCTGGAGAGGTGAGGTGAGGCCAGGTAAACCCTGGAGAGGTGAGGCCAGGGAAACCCTGGAGAGGTGAGGTGAGGCCAGGGAAACCTGGAGAGGTGAGGCCAGGGGAAAAACCCTGGAGAGGTGAGGTGAGTCCAGGGAAATCCTGGAGAGGTGAGGTGAGGCAAGGGTAACCCTGGATAGGTGAGGTGAGTCCAGGGAAACCCTGGAGAGGTGAGGTGAGTCCAGGGAAACCCTGGAGAGGTGAGGTGAGGCCAGGGATAACCCTGGAGAGGTGAGGTGATTCCAGGGAAACCCTGGAGAGGTGAGGTGAGGCCAGGAAAACTCTGGAAAGGTGAGGCCAGGGGAAACCTGGAGAGGTGAGGTGAGTCCAGGGGGACCCTGGAGAGGTGAGGTGATTCCAGGGAAACCCTGGAGAGGTGAGGTGAGGCCAGGAAAACTCTGGAAAGGTGAGGCCAGGGTAACCCTGGAGAGTTGAGGTGAGGCCAGGGGGACCCTGGAGAGGTGAGGTGAGGCCAGGGAAACTCTGGAGAGGTGAGGTGAGTCCAGGGAAACCCTGGAGAGGTGAGGTGAGGCCAGGGAAACCCTGGAGAGGTGTGGTGAGACCAGGGAACCCCTGGAGAGGTGAGGTGAGGCCAGGGAACCCTGGAGAGGTGAGGTGAGACCAGGGAAACCCTCCCTGGAGAGGTGAGGTGATTCCAGGGAAACCCTGGAGAGGTGAGGTGAGTCCAGGGGAACCCTGGAGAGGTGAGGTGAGGCCAGGGAAACCCTGGAGAGGTGAGGCCAGGGTAACCCTGGAGAGGTGAGGTGAGTCCAGGGAAACCCTGGAGAGGTGAGGTGAGGCCAGGGAAACCCTGGAGAGGTGAGGTGAGGCCAGGTAAACCCTGGAGAGGTGAGGTGAGTCCAGGGAAACCCTGGAGAGGTGAGGTGAGTCCAGGGAAACTCTGGAGAGGTGAGGTGAGGCCAGGTAAACCCTGGAGAGGTGAGGTGAGTCCAGGGAAACCCTGGAGAGGTGAGGTGAGTCCAGGGAAACTCTGGAGAGGTGAGGTGAGGCCAGGGAAACCCTGGAGAGGTGAGGCCAGGGAAACCCTGGAGAGGTGAGGTGAGGCCAGGTAAACCCTGGAGAGGTGAGGTGAGTCCAGGGAAACCCTGGAGAGGTGAGGTGAGTCCAGGGAAACTCTGGAGAGGTGAGGTGAGGCCAGGGAAACCCTGGAGAGGTGAGGCCAGGAAAACCCTGGAGAGGTGAGGTGAGGCCAGGGACACCCTGGAGAGGTGAGGTGAGGCCAGGGTTACCCTGGAGAGGTGAGGCCAGGGAAACCCTGGAGAGGTGAGGTGAGGCCAGGGTAACCCTGGAGAGGTGAGGTGAGTCCAGGGTAACCCTGGAGACGTGAGGTGAGTCCAGGGTAACCCTGGAGACGTGAGGTGAGGCCAGGGAAACCCTGGAGAGGTGAGGTGAGGCCAGGGTAACCCTGGAGAGGTGAGGTGAGGCCAGGGAAACCCTGGAGAGGTGAGGTGAGTCCAGGGTAACCCTGGAGACGTGAGGTGAGGCCAGGGAAACCCTGGAGAGGAGATGTGAGGCCAGGGTAACCCTGGAGAGGTGAGGTGATTCCAGGGAAACCCTGGAGAGGTGAGGTGAGGCCAGGGTTACCCTGGAGAGGTGAGGCCAGGGAAACCCTGGAGAGGTGAGGTGAGGCCAGGGTAACCCTGGAGAGGTGAGGTGAGGCCAGGGAAACCCTGGAGAGGTGAGGTGATTCCAGGGAAACCCTGGAGAGGTGAGGTGAGGCTAGGGTAACCCTGGAGAGGTGAGGTGAGGCCAGGCCCCTAAATAAGATCTGGTGCAACCAATTACCTTCAGAAGTCACATAGTTAGTTCAATAAAGTCCACCTGTGTGCAATCTAAGTGTCACATGATCTGTCACATGATCTCAGTATATATACACCTGTTCTGAAAGGCCCCAGATTCTGCAACACCACTAAGCAAAGGGCACCACCAAGCAAGCGGCACCATGAAGACCAAGGAGCTCTCCAAACAGGTCAGGGACAAGTTGTGGAGAAGTACAGATCAGGGTTGGGTTATAAAAAAAGATCAGAAACTTTGAACAATCCATTATTAAAAAATGGAAAGAATATGGCTACACAACAAACCTGCCAAGAGAGGGCCGCCCACCAAAACTCACGGACCAGGCAAGGAGGGCATTAATCAGAGAGGCAACAAAGAGACCAAAGATAACCCTGAAGGAGCTGCAAAGCTCCACAGCGGAGATTGGAGTATCTGTCCATAGGACCACTTTAAGCCGTACACTCCACAGAGCTGGGCTTTATGGAAGAGTGGACAGAAAAAAGCCATTGCTTAAATAAAAAAATAAGCAAACACGTTTGGTGTTCGTCAAAAGGAATGTGGGAGACTCCCCAAACATATGGAAGAAGGTACTCTGGTCAGATGAGACTAAAATTTAGCTTTTTGGCCATCAAGGAAAACGCTATGTCTGGCGCAAACTCAACACCTCTCATCACCCCGAGAACACCATCCCCACAGTGAAGCATGGTGGTGGCAGCATCATGCGGTGGGGATGTTTTTCCATCGGCAGGGACTGGGAAACTGGTCAGAATTGAAGGAATGATGGATGGCGCTAAATACAGGGAAATTCTTGAGGGAAACCTGTTTCAGTCTTCCAGAGATTTGAGACTGGGACGGAGGTTCACCTTCCAGCAGGACAATGACCCTAAGCATACTGCTAAAGCAACACTCAGGGTTATCTTTGGTCTCTTTGTTGCCTCTCTGACTAATGCCCTCCTTGCCTGGTCCGTGAGTTTTGGTGGGCGGCCCTCTTTTGGCAGTCCCCTGTAGCTCAGTTGGTAGAGCATGGCGCTTGCAATGCCAGGGTTGTGGGTTCATTGCCCACGGGGGGCCAGTATGAAAATGTATGCACTCACTAACTGTAAGTCGCTCTGGATAAGAGCATCTGCTAAATGACTAAAATGTCAATGTAAATGTTTAAGGGGAAACATTTAAATGTCTTGGAATGGCCTAGTCAAAGCCCAGACATCAATCCAATTTAGAATCTGTGGTATGACTTAAAGATTGCTGTACACCAGCGGAACCCATCCAACTTGAAGGAGCTGGAGCAGTTTTGCCTTGAAGAATGGGCAAACATCCCAGTGGCTAGATGTGCCAAGCTTATAGAGACATACCCCAAGAGACTTGCAGCTGTAATTGCTGCAAAAGGTGGCTCTACAAAGTATTGACTTTGGGGGGGTGAATAGTTATGCACGCTCAAGTTCTCAGTTTTTTAAAACGTATTTCTTGTTTGTTTCACAATTTTTTAAATTTTGCATCTTCAAAGTGGTAGGCATGTTGTGTAAATCAAATGATACAAACCCCCAAGAAATCCATTTTAATTAAAGGGAGTGCTCCTAATCTCAGCTTGTTACCTGTATAAAAGACACCTGTCCACAGAAGCAATCAATCAATCAGATTCCAAACTCTCCACCATGGCCAAGACCAAAGAGCTCTCCAAGGATGTCAGGGACAAGATTGTAGACCTACACAAGGCTGGAATGGGCTACAAGACCATCGCCAAGCAGCTTGGTGAGAAGGTGACAACAGTTGGTGCGATTATTCGCAAATGGAAGAAACACAAAAGAACTGTCAATCTCCCTCGGCCTGGGGCTCCATGCAAGATCTCACCTCGTGGAGTTGCAATGATCATGAGAACGGTGAGGAATCAGCCCAGAACTACACGGGAGGATCTTGTCAATGATCTCAAGGCAGCTGAGACCATAGTCACCAAGAAAACAATTGGTAACACACTACGCCGTGAAGGCCTGAAATCCTGCAACGCCCGCAAGGTCCCCCTGCTCAAGAAAGGACATATACAGGCCCATCTGAAGTTTGCCAATGAACATCTGAATGATTCAGAGGAGAACTGGGTGAAAGTCTTGTGGTCAGATGAGACCAAAATCGAGCTCTTTGGCATCAACTCAACTCGCCATGTTTGGAGGAGGAGGAATGCTGCCTATGACCCCAAGAACAACATCCCCACCATCAAACATGGAGGTGGAAACATTATGCTTTGGGGGTGTTTTTCTGCTAAGGGGACAGGACAACTTCACCGCATCAAAGGGACGATGGACAGGGCCATGTACCGTCAAATCTTGGGTGAGAACCTCCTTCCTTCAGCCAGGGCATTGAAAATTGGTCGTGGATGGGTATTCCAGCATGACAATGACCCAAAACACACGGCCAAGGCAACAAAGGAGTGGCTCAAGAAGAAGCACATTAAGGTCCTGGAGTGGCCTAGCCAGTCTCCAGACCTTAGTCCCATAGAAAATCTGTGGAGGGAGCTGAAGGTTCGAGTTGCCAAACGTCAGCCTCGAAACCTTAATGACTTGGAGAAGATCTGCAAAGAGGAGTGGGACAAAATCCCTCCTGAGATGTGTGCAAACCTGGTGGCCAACTACAAGAAACGTCTGACCTCTGTGATTGCCAACAAGGGTTTTGCCACCAAGTACTAAGTCATGTTTTGCTGAGGGGTCAAATAATTATTTCCCTCATTAAAATGCAAATCAATTTATAACATTTTTGACATGCGTTTTTCTGTATCTCACTGTTCAAATAAACCTACCATTACAATTATAGACTGATCATGTCTTTGTCAGTGGACAAACGTACAAAATCAGCAGGGGATCAAATACTTTTTTCCCTCACTGTATATACATTTCCTCATTGTATCAGGTATTTTTATTTATTTATTTTGTGTTAAAATAAATACAATTTTATGTGCCTCATTTGAATAAATGCAATGGGTGTATTTGCGTATATTCATAAATTAACACAAAGGGGTGGAACAAGGCTGCAACCACCAAACCGGCGCTGTCTAGACTGCCTCATTAATTACTGTTGTTGTCACGTTCTCTTGCATAATTCAACAAGTGTGTCAATAGCAGGATACCCCCGGATGAAAAATCAGTACGATTGGCTCAAAATTCCACCTATCTAAACATACTTACATTGTTAGTGAGATCAGACATAATATCACTATAATCCGAGTGTTCATTTCCAGAAGTTGCTTTAATTTCAGTGCATCTCATTTGTAAACATTCCAAAGTTAGGAAGTTGCTTTAATTGGAATTGGACATTAAACATTAAACATTCCAACTGTGTTTTTCAATTCCACCAAAAATCTAAATCAAAATCAAGTTATCTTTCTTCTCTGTAAGGGTCGAGACGGTGCACTAAATCCTCAACGAAGCTTTAGCGTTTTTATAGATTCAACAGAAAGCCAATGTATTCTATTGATGTGAACCTTTGACCCACATTTGTTATTTAACAATTGCTTCTGGTCACTAAGATCCGGAAGGTGGTGAATATCCTCCCCCTTTTACAAAGGGGGAGATCCTTCTGACCTAGACAACTGCCGCCCAATTTCTAAACTCTCTTGCAAACATATTAGAACCAAACTCTCAGCTAATAACTTTTTAAACTTCAAATTATACACTTAATGTTTACCAGTCTGGTTATAGGCTGGACATGGCTCCGTTTCAGGTTGACCCTAACCCTAACCCTATGGCTCCGTTTCAGGTTGACCCTAACCCTAACCCTATGGCTCCGTTTCAGGTTGACCCTAACCCTAACCCTATGGCTCCGTTTCAGGTTGACCCTAACCCTAACCCTATGGCTCCGTTTCAGGTTGACCCTAACCCTAACCCTATGGCTCCATTTCAGGTTGACCCTAACCCTAACCCTATGGCTCCGTTTCAGGTTGACCCTAACCCTAACCCTATGGCTCCGTTTCAGGTTGACCCTAACCCTAACCCCATGGCTCCGTTTCAGGTTGACCCTAACCCTAACCCTATGGCTCCGTTTCAGGTTGACCCTAACCCTAACCCTATGGCTCCGTTTCAGGTTGACCCTAACCCTAACCCTATGGCTCCGTTTCAGGTTGACCCTAACCCTAACCCTATGGCTCCGTTTCAGGTTGACCCTAACCCTAACCCTATGGCTCCGTTTCAGGTTGACCCTAACCCTAACCCTATGGCTCCGTTTCAGGTTGACCCTAACCCTAACCCTATGGCTCCGTTTCAGGTTGACCCTAACCCTAACCCTATGGCTCCGTTTCAGGTTGACCCTAACCCTAACCCTATGGCTCCGTTTCAGGTTGACCCTAACCCTAACCCTATGGCTCCGTTTCAGGTTGACCCTAACCCTAACCCTATGGCTCCGTTTCAGAAGCTACGCTTGTCTTAAATGATGTGTTAAATTGTTTAGATCATAGGAATCACTGTGCTGCCATATTTACAGACCTATCCTAATCTAACCCTAACCCTAACCCTAATCCTAATCTAACCCTAACCCTAACCCTAACCCTAACCCTATCCTAATCTAACCCTAACCCTAACCCTAACCCTAACCCTATCCTAATCTAACCCTAACCCTAACCCTAACCCTAACCCTAACCCTAACCCTAATCTAACCCTAACCCTATCCAAGGCCTTTGATGCTGTCGACCATCCCTTACTTATTCAAAGGTTGTCTGAAATTAGCCTCGACCAGGCGTCTTGCAAATGGTTTGGGAACTATCAGATCAGATCAGATAGGAACACAGGAAATAGATGGCTGAAAAAGACAGATCCTCAGGTGGGCGGGGCATGCTAGTATATCTACTCAATGTGTGTCTGTGCAGATCTAGTGTAAATATATCTACTCAATGTGTGTCTGTTCAGATCTAGTGTAAATATATCTACTCAATGTGTGTCTGTTCAGATCTAGTGTAAATATATCTACTCAATGTGTGTCTGTTCAGATCTAGTGTAAATATATCTACTCAATGTGTGTCTGTGCAGATCTAGTGTAAATAAATGTATATCTAGGATAGGTCTACTCACGGCCTCCGTTGGGGAGAGTCTGGTTCCTCTGCGTCCGTACACACTACTGATGTCATCAGGACCATGTGACAGAGGATAGACAGTCATTCAAAATCAAATCAAATCAAATCAAATGGTATTTGTCACATGTGCCGAATACAGCAGGGGGGGGGGGGGGGGGGGGGGGGGGGTAGAAGGATTACTTTATCCTATCCCAGGTATTCCTTAAAGAGGTGGGGTTTCAAATGTCTCCTCCGGAAGGTGGTGAGTGACTCCGCTGTCCTGGCGTCGTGAGGGAGCTTGTTCCACCATTGGGGTGCCAGAGCAGCGAACAGTTTTGACTGGGCTGAGCGGGAACTGTGCTTCCGCAGAGGAAGGGGAGCCAGCAGGCCAGAGGTGGATGAACGCAATGCCCTCGTTTGGGTGTAGGGACTGATCAGAGCCCGAAGGTACAGAGGTGCCGTTCCCCTCACTGCTCCATAGGCAAGCACCATGGTCTTGTAACGGATGCGAGCTTCAACTGTTAACCAACAATGCAGTTCAAGAAATAGAGTTAAGAAAATATATACTAAATAAACTAAAGTAGAAAATAAAATACATTAAAAAGTAACACAAAAAAATAACAATAACGAGGCTATATACAGGGGGTACCGGTACTGAGTCAATGTGCGGGGGTACAGGTTAATCGAGGTAATTTGTACATGTAGGTAGGGGTACAGTGACTATGCATAGATAATAAACAGCGAGTTGCAGCAGTGTCAATGCAAATAGTCCGGGTGGCCATTTGATTAATTGTTCAGCAGTCTTATGGCTTGGGGGTAGAAGCTGTTCAGGAGCCTTATGGACCTAGACTTGGCGCTCCAGTACCGCTTGCCGTGCGGTAGCAGAGAGAACAGTCTATGACGGGTGACTGGAGTCTTGGACAATTTTTTGGGCCTTCCTCTGACACCGCCTGGTATAGAGGTCCTGGATGGCAGGAAGCTTGGCCCCAGTGATGTACTGGGCTGTACGCACTACCCTCTGTAGTGCCTTGCGGTCAGAGGCCAAGCAGTTGCCATACCAGGCGGTGATGCAACCGGTCAGGATGCTCTTGATGGTGCAGCTGTATAACTTTTTGAGGATCTGGGGACCCATGTCAAATATGTTCAGTCTCCTGAGGGGGAAAAGGTGTTGTCATACCCTCTTCACGACTGTCTTGGTGTGTTTGGACCATGATAGTTCGTTGGTGATGTGGACACCAAGGAACTTGAAACTCTCGACCCGCTCCACTACAGCCCGGTCGATGTCAATGGGGGCGTGTTCGGCCCTCCTTTTCCTGTAGTCCACGATCATCTCCTTTGTCTCGCTCACATTGAGGGGAAAGGTTGTTGTCCTGGCAACACACTGCCAGGTTTCTGACCTCCTCCCTATAGGCTGTCTCATCGTTGGTGATCAAGCCTACCACTGTTGTGTCGTCAGCAAACTTAATGATGGTGTTGGAGTTGTGCTTGGCCATGCAGTCGTGGGTGAACAGGGAGTACAGGAGGGGACTGAGCACACATCCCTGAGGGGCCCCCATGTTGAGGATCAGCATGGCAGATGTTTTTGCCTACCCTTACCACAAGGGGGCGGCCCGTCAGGAAGTCCAGGATCCAGTTGCAGAAGAGGTGTTTAGTCCCAGGGTCCTTAGCTTAGTGATGAGCTTTGAGGGCACTATGGTGTTGAACGCTGAGCTGTAGTCAATGAACAGCATTCACACATAGGTGTTCCTTTTGTCCAGGTGGGAAAGGGCAGTGTGGAGTGCGATTGAGATTGCTTCATCTGTGGATCTGTTGGGGCGGTATGCAAATTGGAGTTGGTCTAGGGTTTCTGGGATGATGGTGTTGATAGGGGGCATTAGAGAGACAGACAGGCAGGCAGACAGGCAGGCAACACAGTAACTGTAACAGGAGCTATGGTTAGACAGAGACAGAGGATAAACAGTAGGGGGCGACAGAGAGAGAGACAGACAGACAGACAGACAGGTAGACAGATAGACAGACAGACAGACAGACAGACAGACAGACAGACAGACAGACAGACAGACAGACAGACAGACAGACAGACAGACAGACAGACAGACAGACAGACAGACAGACAGACAGACAGACAGACAGACAGACAACACTGTAACTGTAACAGGAGCTATTGTTAGACAGAGACAGACTACATAACAGTTAGAGGCAGACAGACACTCTGTCATCCCTTAAAGTCAGGACAGGAGGAATGGAGGAATGGAGTGTACTCTGTAAAGATTGGTCACATCACTCACAGTCCCCATGGTCATGAGTTCCTGTGTAGCTGTATGGAAATGCAGTGTGATAATATGGACAGTGTTGTTTGACAGAGGTGTGTGAGTGTGTGTGTGTGTCGGGGGTGTCAACGTGTGTGTGTGTGTGTGTATCTGGATGAACCTGCTGAAACTGGCCATCACACCGTCCTCTGGGGCTGGATGCTCTACCACTGGAGGGTGAAGGAGAGGAGGAGGATATGTGAGGGGGGATGCGAGGGGAGTAGAGAGGAAGGAGTAATATTACTGCAGGATGTCTATATTACTCGTCTTGTCGTTCGTCATCTCTTCTTTTTTTGGGGTGCTCGGCGGGCGTCTTGTGCGGTGCCTTCCGTCGCCGTCGTCGGCCTTCTCGGCGGTCGTTGCCCTTCGGCCGGTGCTTGCGCTTCTCTGCCCGTCCTCTTCTGGCGTCGTGTTGGAGGGTAGCGGGGGCCTCCGGTCCTGCGCCTGGTGGTGGGGGCGCGGCCCGTGGGCCGGTGCCGCGGACCGACGCGAGCGTTGCTTCGTTGGGTGCTCGCGGCGGCTCGGCGGCGGCGGCTCCGCACGGGGACCTTGCGGGCTACTACGGCGCCTTCTTGGTTCGTGTCTGTGTGCGGCGCTGCGGCGTTGTTGCGACCGCGGGGCCGCCGTCTGCGGCACGCGGCGGCGCTTGTGGCTGTGGCTCGGCGCGGCGGCGCTGGTGGGTGGGTGGGCGCGGCGCGGTGGTGCTGGCGCGGTTCTTGCGGCGGCCGTGTTCCGGCGAGCCGTCTCGATCCGGTCCCTGCTCTAGCGCCGCTGCGTGGTTACTGTGGGGGGCTCTGCGGGGTCGGCGCAGGCGGTTCTGCGCGTAGCGTCGTCTTGCGCTGCGTGTGGTGTGTGGGCGGCGGCCGGCGCGGGCGCGGCGGCCTTTCGGCTGGCCCTCGTCGGTGCGGCTGCGTGGCTCCACCGGGGGCTGCTCGGTCGTACGAAATGTGCGCCGGCTGGCGCCGGCTGCGGTCGCGTTGGCGGTCGGCGTGGCGGTGCGGCCTTCGGTTCGCTGGGCGCTGCGCGTGTTGCTGCGGGCGCGGGACGGCGTGGTTTTGCTGTGCGTTTTTCTTCGACTTCGGTCCTCGGGCTCCTCTGGCTTTCTCGTGCGTTCTTGTCTGCCTTCCTATCTTCGCTTGCCTCTGGCAATGACTTCTGTCTCTTTCTATTTTTTTTTTTTTTACGTTTTTTCGCTCTAACACTACTCCTATAACTGCGTCCTTCGTCTTCTCGTCTTCTTTTCAACGTGCTTCTCACACCTCTTCTTCTCTCCTTCCGTTTCTTTTCTCGGATCTCCTGCCGTTTTCGTCTGTCGTTCTTCTCTCTCTTTCTTCTCTCCATTCGCCTTTTTCCTTTCTCCCTCTCCTTCCCTTTAACTTGATATGCCCACGCGTCCCTTTCTGGATGTATCCCTCTGCTCCGGCTGGCGGTTTCTTACCTTAGCGGCCGTCGAACACACCTTGCATCTCTCTTCTTCTTCTCTTTTGTGTCTTCGTTCTTTCGCCCAGCGTGAGACCCCGACTGCAGAGGTAAACGACGGGATGTACTTAGAATGCTCTTTCTTTTCTCTTCTTCTTCTCTTCCCCCTGACGCTTCTTTCTGTGTCGGTGCTGGGGCGCTTCGGTGGTGCAGAGGTGTTGCGGGCTGCTGGCGGCTCGCTCGTGGGGCGGTGCCTTTCGTGCCCCTTCTGTGGGTGCGGGCTGCGGCGGCGTTTCGGTGCTTGCGGCGCCGCGGTGGTGCGGGCGCGGCGTTGGGTGCGCGTGCGGCGGGTGGTGCGCTGCGCGGCGAGTGGTTGCGGCGAGTTGCGTCCGTGTTTGCTCGCGGTGCGGTCGCGGCCTGTGTGCCCCTGCGGCAGTGTGCGGGCGCGGCCCGGCGCGGCGGCGTGGCGGATGACTTGCGCTCGGCGTTTGTGCGGGCTCGGGCGGCTCGGCGGCGCTGGCGCTGCTTGCCGGCGCGGCGGTGGTGGCGGGCCGGGCGTTGTGCGGGGCGCGCGGTGGATGCGGGCGCCCCGGGCCCGGGTGGTAGCGGCGGGCGGCGCGGCGGCGTGGCGGTGCCTTGCGGCGCGGCGTGGTGCGGGGACGCGGCGGCGCGGCGGCGTGGGGTGCTTTCGTCGACGGCGGTGGCTGCGTGCGCGGCCGGCGACGGCGTCGTGGCGGTGTTGCGGGCCGTGGTGCGGTGCTGCCTGTGGTGCGGGCGTGGCTGTGGTGGCTCGTGCCGCGCGGTGGTGCGGGCGCGGCGGTGTTGCGGCCTCCGGCGCCCGTGTTGCGGGCCCGTCGGGTTTCGGGGAGGAGTAGCCTATCTCCATGTACGTGTAGACCAGACCAACTCTATATAAAGAAACACCACATTAATCAATATTTACCAACCACTGTCGCGAGAGCTCAGCTTCACTTTCCTCTAATCCCCATGGTTTTTTGTGTCCATGAGGCTGATATTTTGATAAAGGACAGTCCTACCAACAGGATGTAGACATACAGGCAAGAGGAGAGATCACGCTGACTGTAACTGACCATCCAGGGGAGGGAGGAGTAGGGAGAGATAAGAGGGAGGGGAGGGGGGGGGAGGGAGCCAGGGAGAGGGAGAGAGTAGAGAGCAGAGAGGAGAGAAGAGGGAGAGAGGGAAGGGAGGGAGGGAGAGAGAGAGAGAGAGAGAGAGAATAGAGAGAGGAGAGAGAGAGAGAGTAGAGAGAGAGAGAGAGATAGAGGAGAGAGAGAGAAGAGAGAGAGAGATATTTTGAGGATAGAATAGAGAGCCGCGCGCGCCGTGGGCGGGCTGGCGTGAGGGCTGGCGGTTCGTCTTATCGGGCGGACTTCGTGACGTGTCGGCTCGCGCGCGCGCGCTTTGCTGCCCCTGTCGGTCTCGCTCGTCGCCGCGCTCTCTGCGCGCCCGCGCGCTTGCGAGCGCGCGCGCGAGCGCGCGCCGTCGCTCGCGCGCGCGAGCGCGCGCGCGCGCTAGCCCGCGCGGCTCGCCGCGCGGTCTTTCCTTGGCGGTGTCGGCGGGCTGCGGTGGCGGGGGCGCGCGCTAGCGCCTAGAGCCCGCTCGCTCTCGCTCGGGCGCGCGGCTTCGCGCACTTCCGGCTCGCGCTCTACCATGCTCCGCCGCGCTGCCCTCTCGCCTCTCCGCTGTTTCTCTCAAAACGAATCTAGAACAGACGGCGGCGGGCGGGGAAAAAGCCCTGGGGAAAGGTGCGGATTGAAAGAAAGGAAGAGTGAGAAAGGCAGTAAGAGCTTGAGTGCGGGGGATAGGGTGAACATAGGTGAGACGGGAGTACTAAAGCGGTTTCGTAAAGCGCAAGACGAAAAGGGGGCGGCCTTGAGCAGGGATATGAAGGGAGGGGGGATTGAACGGAGAACCGTTGAAAAATAGGGGATGTAGGAGAAAGTCGATCGGCAGGTTAGTGTATGGATCGGGTTATGGCGGGTGCCAGGGGGGGTGGGGGGGTGGTAGTGTTGTGTTTGTGGTGTTGCTGGAGCGCAGGAAGGTGAAAAAAGATAGATCATGAGCAAGGGACGATTTGAATTTAGAGGGAAGGGAAGGCAAGCGGGGGCGGGCAAAGGGGGTGGCTGCAGGAGTGAGGAGAGAAGTCAAGCCTGGGCTCTGGGATGAGGCTTGAGAGGCCTCGTCGCGGGGCGGGTGAGGGTAACGGGTGTAACTGAAAAACTCAGTCGAGGAGCGTCGCGCTACTATAAGGAGAAAACTGCTGAGGGCAAGTGGTTCCTGGTCGGTGGAAAGTTTTCGCCTGTTGAGACTATCGAGGCTACGGATGCTCCCTTCTTTTTTCTCCTTACTGCTTCGCTGCCTACCCGCTCTCATTTCCTCTTAACCTTCAGTACGTCGCGGGGCGCGCGCGCCGCGCTTACCCTCCATGGCCACTGGTGTAGTCGGTCTCAGTGTAACGGACATCCACAGTTTACTGTTGCATATGAGTTACTGAAGGACAGATTCGCTGTTTAAATCAATACATGAAACTTTGATGTAGGCTCTCTTCCTTGTTTATTAAGGCACAATACTATGCCAGATACTGAGCCAGAGGGTTATTAACAATACTATGGGCCAGATAACTGAGAGCCAGAGGGTTTATTAACAAACGTAGTGTCACCCTATACTGAGGCCAGTCGGGTTTCTTACACAATTACTATGCCAATACTGAGCCAAAGGGTTTATAACAATCGCTATTATGCCAGGAGTACAGTGAGCCGTCCCTACCGGGCTTTCATTAACAATACACTCCTTCAGATACTGAGCCCACGATGTTATTAACAATACTATGCCAGATACTGAGCCAGAGGGTTATTAATAATACTATGCCATACTGAAGCCAGAGGTTTTTTACCAATACGTATTGCCAGTACTGAGCCAGAGGTTTATATTAACAATTGGCTATGTTAGCCAGATCTTGAGCCAGCGAGGGTTATTAAACAATACTATCCAGATACTGAGCCAGATGTTATTAAACAATACTATTCGCAACTCTGAAGACCAGAGGGTATTAAACAATACTAATACTATTGCGCAGATACTGAGCCAGAGGGTTATTAACAATACTATGCCAGATACTGAGCCAGAGGGTTATTAACAATAACTCCTGACCGATCTAAGCTTAATGATATCTGTGACCCAAATTTTTATTACCGCCTGCTCCTCTTCCCATCCTCCGCCCTGTAACTGTGTTTACGGATAATTCCACCGCGTGCCATTCCTGTCTTCGGCCCCCCCCCTAATATCTCCGTTCCTCGCTTTATCCTGGCAACAAACTTTTTTTTCTTGTGTTGGTTGCCGCCACTATGGTTTTTTGCTTTCTCGTCCTCATCATGTCTGAACCACCTCCGACGTGTCACTGCCCGTTTGTCCTTTTTCACCCATGATGTGTGGCCAGAGCAACGCCTCCAACTCAAATCAATCATCAGTTGCAGATAACATACAGTAGTAGCTTGATGATTACCAACATTATGGAGCCTACAGTGGGGAGGTTGAGGGCCTCTGTGAGTGTGTGGCAGGAAAAATAAACAGCGGAAAAACGCGCGAAACAAAACCACCTCATCCGCTCAACTTCACAGAGAACACGACTTGCTCTTCATGGCTTAGAGGCTTGTTGCCTTCCTTTAAACAGCAGAGGTTCACCCCCCTATCCACATCGCGGACCCGCAGGGGGAGAAGGTGAAAGCCTTCACAAGTTCCTGTGGTGTAACATCACGGACCAAACGAAAATGGTCCACCCACCCAGACAGTGTTGTGAAGAGGCGGCAAGCAACAACAGCGTCTCTTCAACTTCAGGAGGCTAAGAGACATTTTAGTTATCAACCACCCACTGTAGACCTGACACCACAGCTGGGTTGTGTTAGTCACCCTGTAGACTGACACACACTGGGTTGGTTAGTCACCCGTTGGACCTGCAACACAGCGGGTTGAGGGTTAGTCACCCTGTAGACCTGACACACAGCTGGGTTAGGGTTAGTCACCCTGTAGACCTGACACACAGCTGGGTTAGGGTTAGTCACCCTGTAGACCTGACACACAGCTGGGTTAGGGTAAGTCACCCTGTAGACCTGACCACACCGAGCTGCTGGGTTAGGGTTAGTCACCTGTAAGCACCCCGACACACAGCTGGGTTAGTGTGTCGTCACCCTGTAGACCTGACACACCAGCTGGGTTAGGGTTTAGTCACCCGTAGAACCCTGCTGACCACACGCTGGGTTAGGGTTATCACACCCTGTAGCCCCACACACAGCGGGTTAGGGTTGCCCACCCTGAGACCTGAAAACCGCTGGGTTGGGGTTGTCCCCCTTGACCTGACTAAACCCCATTCCCCATTTTTTCCCCTTCCCCCTTTGCCAGTCATGGCAGGTCAGGGCCCAAATTATGTATAAAAACTCTGGATTGCTGTGCTGTGTATGGCCCCTTTTGAGGGGCTTTGAAGCCACCGCGCCATATTGGAATCCCCTTTTGGTACAGTCCTCCAAGGAAAAAAAAATGGAATTATACGGGATTTCAGTTTTAAATTCCATTACTGTATTTAATATTTTTTTTTTTGTGTCAGAAAAATTAGCAAACCTAAAAATAACTTTAAAAAAAATGTTGTTGTATTTTTGTAAAAAAAATTTTCATAAAATATGCTTCTATAGCTTTTCAAATATTTTTTCAACATACGGTGGCTTTCAAAACACACCCCCCATTGTCATCAAAATTTAAAAAATGATAAAATAATTGGTCAGGGCCTGTCCTTTTTTCCTCCTACAGACAATTTTTCAGTACATTTATGTGACATATTGTTTAGTACTGTAGGGGCATATGGGTTTAGTAAAAGTATTGATATTGTTCAGTCATTTTTTGGAAATTGTTCAGTACATTAATGTGCTATTGTTCAGTACATTTTTTGTGACTATTGTTTTAGACATTATATGTACATATTGTCATACCATAGTGACAATTGTTCAGTACTATATTGAATATTGTTCGTACATTTTAAATTTAAAATTTGTTCAACATCAAATTTACATTTGTTAGTCATATATTACATTTGTTCATACACATTGGCAAATTGTTCCATTTAGTGACATATTGTTCAGTAATTAAAACATTTGTTCGACATTTTATTCATATTGTTCGTACTTATGTACTTTGTTCAAATATATTTGCATATTGTTCAGTACATTATATTGACTTTGGTTTTAAAATCAATGGACATATTGTTCATTACATTTTATTTGACATTTTGTTCATCATTATATTACATATTGTTAGTACTTTTATTTTGACATATGTTCAGTACATTTTATTGATATTGTTCAGTACATTATATGTGACATATTGTTCAACATATATTGACAATATGTTTCAGTCATATTTGACATATTTTCAGTAATCATATGTGACATTGTTCAGTACATCATATTGACATATTGTTCAGTACATTATATTGACATATTGTTCAGTACATTATATGTATATTGTTCAGTACTTTATTTGACTAATGTGTTTTCAGTACATTATATGTGACATATTTCAGTACATCTATTGACTATTTTTGACAATTGTTCATATTTAGACATATTGTTCATACATCATATGTGACATATTGTTCAATACTTATATGTGACATTTGTTAGTACATTTTTGACATTTGTTCAGTACATTTTTATTGACAATTTGTTCATTACATTATATTTGACATATTGTTCAAGTACATTATATGTGACATATTGTTCAGTATATATTGACATATTTTCAGTACATTATGTGACATATTGTCAGTACATATATTTATTGTTCATGTACATTATAGTGACATATTGTTTCAGTACATTA